AGATATCAGAAGAAATTGGCAAAGTACCTTTAAAAAGTTCAGTTTTTGGACCGGTAGGAAAAAAAATAAAACAAAATAACAAATATAAAAAAACAAGAATAATGAAATGTGCAGAACGGCCGTGGGTATGAAAGCTCTGGGAATGTTTCATTCCCAATTGTTGTTGTATTTTCTAAATATTAAAAATTTTCGTTTCTGACGAGAGAATTTCGATTCAGCTGCCACAGGGTAGTTACTGTTTATGACTCTCAGAAATCACATTTGTAGGAATCCTCGCTTAAAATGAAGTTTTAAAACGTTTTAAGATCCTCTGAATTTAACATGTAACTTCCGGTGAAAAATGTTTGCCGTCGTTTTTTAGCCAATATTGATCTTGTATGACAGACAGCGAAAACCTTTTTACACAACAATCAAAGCATTTTGGAAGAAAATATTTTGAGCCGGGGCTTATAGATTGTGATTACGATGTCCTTTAGTAATATCTAAATTACAATTATTCCTTGCGAGTTACATGAAAAAAAATCAGCTGGCATCTATTGCTTTGAAATATGTACAAACAGTAAAAACGAGAAAAAACGGAATAATTAGATTTAGATTATCATAACGTGTGTAGAAACCTTTACTTTAATGAGATGGTCGCACCGTGTAAGTTCTAAACGTCGTAAAAATGTTTGCAAATAAATTTTGATTGCAACATTTTTATCACGTAAATGAATTAAGAAACTGGTAGGTTAATGTTTAGTGTTCGTTTATTTTCTAGAGTGTAATCACCAGTTGTTTGATTGGACATCACCAGCCTGGTTTGAGCACTAATGGCACAATTAACACGTCATGTCTGTATAAGTGGACAGCAGGCGTCAAAGTCACGCGCTGTTGTCCCGCATATCGCGGAGTTAATTGTTTATGAAAACGCATAATCGATGTCTCGTCTGACCAAGTTTCCATCTCGAATTTTGTCATAGTTTTGATTAGTTGGTAACAGGACTTCGTGTCGTCCAATTCTGTCTGTAATCCAACTAACTGGGTAATGCGCCGATCAATTCGAGGCTTCAACATCCCCCGCCCCCGCCGCTGAGCATTTGACTGTCGTCCGTACCGGGGTGGGGTGAAGAGCTTAAACCAGAGGCGTAAAGTCTTTCCAGCGGTATAAACGTGGTTTATCTTTTGATATGGAGGTTTTTAAACATACGATACTGATAAAAGGAAGATCAAATCCAGCATTTGGGTGAGGAATTTAAACACAATTTTGGCCTCAGGAGGCGGGAATTTGAGCGAACCAATCTTGAAAAGTTCAAATGCATGGGGGCTGCTCTTTGCATTTGACGCTTCGAATTGATCGACGCATGAACGTTTGACTGATTGATTTTCGGGACAAGAATAAACCCGTTGGTAACATATTAGCGGGCTATGTCAAACAAGGCTATCTGAGTAAAAGTTTCGTAAACTCGTCTCTCCTGCGTTTAAGATTATTTTGAACTGAAGTAACTCAGAGTGGTTTCTTTACATTCATTCAAAGCAGAATCGCGAGCTCTTTGCATTCCGTTACTTGCGGGATGGTTTCTACTCACATGTACACCTGGCCGATTATTCTTTTGGCGCTTTCGTCGCATTTTATCTCAGTTAGTCGCAGTCATGGTAAGTAGTAAGCCTAAAAATGCAAGCAGAGAAGCTTTTCACAGAAGCTGAAATAGGACACCGTTGTTATGCAAAAGTGAAACAATCATTCTCTAAAAAACGTTTCTCAACGACTCTATTTGGCAGGTCGGATTAGATAATCGTTATGTATTCTTTTACGACCTGTGTTTGTTTTCCGAGTTGAAACTTGAGTGAAGCCCTTTTTCTTCGAGGGATCCATCCAAGTAAAGTAGGTTGAAGAGTTAAGATGAATCAGACTAACATTTTTTCTCGGAATGAGCTCGGTTGTATTACTCGGTTTGGCCGATTGCTTATCGATTTGGAAAGGTGAACCCGATGTTCGTGAAGGCTTTGTGAAGAAGGAGCGAAAATGGTGGCAAATATTGATAGCTTAAATGAAACAAACTTTAGCAATCCATGCCAGCTGGTACTGGATCGTACAACGATGTAAGTGAGTTAGTTGTTGAGGTAATGAAAATATCTGGAATCGCTGACTATCGAAGCCGCAATTAGGAAAGGTATTTGCGTGGGTAAATTGTATGTTCACTCTCAGTTTTTGTTATTTACGGTTCGGTAAAGCCAAGTTTTTCGTTTGTCTCACGATGTAGTCACGTGTGATGTAGATCGCGACGTTTCGACTGCGTATACTGCTAGTCTTCTTCAGTCTTCATCGCCTGAAGAGGACTAGCAGGATGCAGTCGAAACGTCGCGATCTACATCACACGTGACTACATCGTGAGACAAACGCAAAAACTTAGCTTTTATTGTTATTTACCAAATGAATAACCGCAGCCTTTTTTACGGTACGGTATTGACAAACGCGTTATGCATCTGATTTTAAAGCTCATGGGTGCCCGAGTGATATGGAATCGAAATTTTGTATGTAGGTGGCATGTATAAAATTGACTTCGTGGCTGTGACTTGTGGAAAGATTGTATTTCTCTTGACTTTTGGAAGCGTATCCTGTAGTAACAAGTCCATGTGCTTTCTAAGATGCGATTTGAACTACGTTATGTTCGATAATTTGGTTTCTTCGAGTTCGTTTTGGATGAAAGTGAATTATTAACAAACTTTATGATTTAGTTTAATGCATGTATTGTAATTTTTGATCTCTCCTGGTCAGACAAGTTACAGAGCCAAATTATATTATACAATAAGAAAAAAAAATACAATTTTAGTTGAAATAGAATTTGCCCAAGAAATGTTCAGTATTCAAGTAATGATGATAATAATTATTATCCATGGATATTATAAATAGAAGTTATATGTTAAACTCCTCTAGGGGGTTAAGGGGTTAAAATTACAGGTGGTACAACTAAACGTTAAAGCTGTCTGCTACATATATAATTATGGTTCATACAGTTTTAAACATGTTGATCTGGAAAGTAACCTGAGCTACAATTGGAATTGGTGATGTTTAATACTGCAGAATGCAGACAGAATACAAAATCCACTTCAAACAAGTTTTCAAAATAACTTCTGATTATAGGCTCGTTCCTATTATTTATAACATTATTGTGCTTGAGAAGGAAAATTTTCACTTTTTGTTGCCTATTTGATCAGATTCATTTCCAAATATAAAACACAAGGCTTGTGTATGGAAGAAATTTCTCCTTCTTTTACATTTTCCATTGCAGCCATATGAAAAATTGTTCTCACAAACTAAGTATGCCTTTTTAAACTTTAAGGTGCCAAAGGCACTATCAATCAATTCTTAATACAAAAATGCAATAATTGTTTAGGTTTGATTTAATCTTGCCAAAAAACAGTTAACCCACAACACACCTTGACATGCATGCTTAAAACAATAGGCCATTTTACAATTATGCACTTAGCCACAAAGATTTTGATTCGGAGTGAGGCTGAAGGTGACCTTGTTATGATAGAGACCAGTATCTAGTTTGCATGATAACCAAGTAATTTACAATACATAATACAATACAATACACTTTATGATTACGGCTCCCCTACATGTATATGAGGGTATTCTGTTGTAATACAATAATATTTATATAATAATTTACAATGGGTCAGAGAATATTTACATGTGTTGCAAAGAAAAAAGACCAAATAACATTTAAAATAATAGTAATAATAATAATAATAATAATAATGATAATTAATATAATTTGGTATAAAGGTGTAAATTAGGGTTGAAAGATCCATTTAAGAAGAGTTTCTGATAAAATGGGCCACTTTCCTTTTAAGATCTAAAATATCATTTGTGCTTTGAATTCACATTTGAAAAGCAGCAAGGTTTGTATCATAACAAGGTCACCCTTAGCCTTACTCCTATTCAAAGGCTTGGCAACCAAGCACACAACTGTAAAATGGACTATTGTTATAAACACATCTACCCGTGCCACTGAAGTCAAGAAGTACATTTCTAGAGCAACAGCTACAATTCTAGGCAGAGCTATGAATAATTTTATTCCTCCCATATTCCTATCAATATGTCTTTAATCATTTATTTTTGTTATGTAAAGAATGTTCAAGTGCTCTTGGTATGGAGAGTCGCCACATCAAAGCACTTGGTAGCAAACATTTTATTTTCCATATCATGCAGTAAATTGTCTTGCTTGCATTATGATGAAAGTCATTTTGTAGGGATAACATGACAATATATTTTACTTGAGATGTTTCTCATCTTGTAGGTTCAAGTTAGTTAAGGACTAGTATTTCACACCAATTTTACAGTATTCACAAAAGCCAGAAATTTATAGTAAAACCAAACAGTTTGAGGTTCTATTTTCTTGGCTATTTGGTGTTAATTTGCTAAAGAACAAGTTTCAGCTGGTTAGTTTGACATGAAAGCAACCATGTTTTCCAAACTTTTTCTAAGTTGATTTACTAAAAGCATTATAATTTGCTAAACTGTCTGTTCTATGAAATGCCCCAATTACAAAGTTTTTATTTCACTTCATTAATTGTTTACAAAAACACCTGTCTATTCCAATAAAGGAAAATGCAATTAGAAGTAAGTCACTGGTTCCCAGGATGGTGCAAGTTATGCTAAGACATCTGATTGTTTTTGTGACTTCTTGATGAGCTATACTTATGAAATTCAGGGGATTTCTCATTTAGATTTGAAGTTAATGACCCTGAGAGCAATCTTGGAATTTTCCATAGATCTCATCCATCACATGGGATACTGTACCTGCATGCTTTAAAATGAGTAAATTCTTCAATTACTTTGTTGTAAGATTTTGCAGATTTTGAGAACTGTTTGCTATAATTATTGTGTGAGTGTGAATTGTGTGGTTCTGCATCTGCAGTTATCTGGTAAGAAATCTTGTTACAGTAACTATATCTACACAAGAACCGATGTATTGCAAAATGTCAAGCCAACAAATTGCATATTTTGCATGACTATAAAATTAAAAGTGTTCTTTCACTTTGTTTATTTCTGTAAAGAATGTTCAAGTGCTCTTGGTATGGAGAGTCGCCACATCAAAGATGCTCAAATCACTGCATCTTCACAATGGGATAGAAATCATGCGGCAATCCAGGGAAGATTGAACTTTAAGGCTGGTGGAGGTAAACAGGGAGGATGGTCAGCTCGGTCGAACAATGGAAATCAATGGATACAGGTGGCTCTTGGCAGTTACACCAAATTAACAAGTATAGCAACACAGGGAAGGAATGCTGATAGCCAATGGGTAACAGCATACAAGCTGCAGTACAGTGAAGATGGAGTGAACTTCTACTACTATAAAGTACCAGGACAGAGTTCACCTAAGGTACATAAATTACCATGTGTCAGATATTGAAAGCTTTTTTGGGTATATCTCAAGTCGACCTGTAGAAAATGAACCTTTAAGTGGACAAAATCTGTTGATATTCATGTTGTATCATTATTTGAATTGAATAGTATATTGACAACTAAATAATGTAAAACATATTGGCATGTAGGTGATTATGCTTTGCATTTCTAAGAATTGCTTTGTTCAACCCTTAAACTCCCAGAAGTGATTCCCATGTAACTTCTCCCAACAATATCCATCCACTATCCAGCAAACAGGTAATGAGAATACTCAAATGTATCAGGTAGAAGTTGTTATCTTGGTATAATACCAAATTCTTGCAACTAATTTACAAGGAAATGTGTAACAGTGAGATGTGAGAATTGACAACCAGATCATGGGAGTTAAAGGGTTATTTAATAAGCAATTGATACTCGACTAAACAGAATAATGATAAATACAATGATGTTAATTTGTTATGGGAATCACTTATCTTACTAGATTTTGTATGTTGATCATTTAAGGTTTTAAAGGAAATAAAGACAGGGATAGTATTGTGTACCATGAAATAAACCCACCAATCCAAGCACGTTATATCAGACTCAGACCCACAGCATGGTATCATCATATATCACTCAGGATGGAGCTGTATGGTTGTCTAGGTATGGTAACTGTTACTCTTTGTCATTAATCAACATTAGCTTATGCTTGGAGTACCTCCTCATCCATGTATATTGTCAATTGACAAACAGTTCTGCTAACACATAAACATTATCTAGGGATTGCAACTGGGTGCTAGAACTAAAGTTCTAATTTTGGGGGATTTTGTAGACGGAATTGAAGGGTAAGGATGTTGATGTGCAGTTGATTGACAAAAGATGTACAAAATTAAGGAAATGTTTTGGTGAACCAAACATTTGGTACTGGTAAATATAAGCACTTGGTAGCAAACATTTTATTTTCCATATCATGCGGTAAATTTTGTTGCTTGCATTATGATGAAAGTCATTTTGTAGGGATAACATGACAATATATTTTACTTGAGATGTTTCTCATCTTGTAGGTTCAAGTTAGTTAAGGACTAGTATTTCACACCAATTTTACAGTATTCACAAAAGGCCAAAAATTTATATTAAAACCAAACAGTTTGAGGTTCTATTTTCTCGGCTATTTGGTGTTAATTTGCTCAAGAACAAGTTTCAGCTGGTTAGTTTGACATGAAAGCAACCATGTTTTCCAAACTTTTTCTAAGTTGATTTACTAAAAGCATTATAATTTGCTAAACTGTCTGTTCTATGAAATGCCCCAATTACAAAGTTTTTATTTCACTAATTGTTTACAAAAACACCTGTCTATTCCAATAAAGGAAAATGCAATTAGAAGTAAGTCACTGGTTCCCAGGATGGTGCAAGTTATGCTAAGACATCTGATTGTTTTTGTGACTTCTTGATGAGCTATACTTATGAAATTCAGGGGATTTCTCATTTAGATTTGAAGTTAACGAACCTGAGAGCAATCTGGGAATTTTCCATAGATCTCATCCATCATATAGGATACTGTACCTGCATGCTTTAAAATGAGTAAATTCTTCAATTACTATTTTGTGAGATTTTTCAGATTATGAGAACTGTTTGCTATAATTATTGTGTGAGTGTGAATTGTGTGGTTCTGCATCTGCAGTTATCTGGTAAGAAGTCTTGTTACAGTAACTATATTTACACAAGAACCGATGTATTGCAAAATGTCAAGCCAACAAATTGCATATTTTGCATGACTGTAAAATAAAACTGCTCTTTCACTTTCTTTATTTCTGTAAAGAATGTTCAAGTGCTCTTGGTATGGAGAGTCGCCACATCAAAGATGCTCAAATCACTGCATCTTCACAATGGGATAGAAATCATGCGGCAATCCAGGGAAGATTGAACTTTAAGGCTGGTGGAGGTAAACAGGGAGGATGGTCAGCTCGGTCGAACAATGGAAATCAATGGATACAGGTGGCTCTTGGCAGTTACACCAAATTAACAAGTATAGCAACACAGGGAAGGAATGCTGATAGCCAATGGGTAACAGCATACAAGCTGCAGTACAGTGAAGATGGAGTGAACTTCTACTACTATAAAGTACCAGGACAGAGTTTACCTAAGGTAAATGTAGAGGCAGTTACTTGGTTTAAAACTGTTGAAAATATATTCTTATGTCTGCACAGTATACAGGTAACAGTTATTATATGTTGCAAGTAGTCCTATTAATTTATCTGCAACGACCATTAGGGGCTTATAATGCAGTCTACCATGGAATAGGTTAATAATGCCACATATCTAGCCTGGCATTCAAAATTGGTCTTTCTTGACTTTCTCTTGCATATTTACAACTAGTGCAATAAACACGTTACAATTTTAAATGTTAGTTGAAACTATTGGAGAATCATGCATAATCCAACAGGAATGGCGTGACTGTGGTAGCTGACTACTAATATTACTTGCATGTATTTGTAGGTATTCAAAGGAAATAAAGACAGAGACAGCATTTTTTATCACCAGTTAAACCCACCCATCAAAGCTCGCTACATCAAACTTCGACCAACATCGTGGTATAATCATATATCGCTAAGAATGGAGCTGTATGGTTGCTCAGTAGGTATGATTATTATCTTACACCAACTTATTTGGCACTGAAAATTGGAAGGGTGAAACACGTGTTTTGATTATAACCAGCATAATGCTGAAATATGGATATGGCAAGAAACTCCAGATTGTTAGATGCTACATTATGACATAGGTAGAAAAATTTCTGCTTGATCGAATTTTGTCTAACTTTTAACTTTTCAATAGAACTGTACGTACCTACCCACAAACATACCTACATACCTCTGTACATAAACACACACTCGTGAACTGTTCTTTTACCTTCTTTGTTTCTGTAAAGAATGTTTGGCACCTCTTGGTTTGGAGAGTCGACGCATTAAAGATGCTCAAGTCACTGCATCTTCGCAATGGGATGGAAATCATGCAGCAATCCAGGGAAGATTGAACTTTAAGGCTGGTGGAGGCAAGCAAGGAGGATGGTCAGCTCGGCAGAACAATAAAAATCAATGGATACAGGTGGCTCTTGGCAGCTACACCAAATTAACAAGTATAGCAACACAGGGAAGGAATGCTTACAGCCAGTGGGTAACAGCATACAAGCTGCAGTACAGTGAAGATGGAGTGAACTTCTACTTCTATAAAGTACCAGGACAGAGTTCACCTAAGGTAAATGTAGTATCAGTTAATTGGCTTTAAACTGTAAAAATATATGCCTATAGTTGCACGGTATAACAGTTATAACATGTTGCAAATAGTCCTATAAGTTATGTGCAAATACCAAGGGGCTAAGTGCCTGATCATGCAGTCTACAATGGAAGAAGTTAATTATCTAGCCTGCATGGCATTGCGACAAAATTGGTGTTTCTTGACTTTCTCTTGCATATTTACAACAAGTGCAATAAACACGTCACAATTTTAAATGTTAGTTGAATCTATTGGAGAATCATGCATAATCCAACAGGAATGGCGAGACTGTGGCAACTGATTATTAATTTTACTTGCTTGTATTTGTAGGTATTCAAAGGAAATAAAGACAGGGACAGCATTGTTTATCACCAGTTAAACCCACCCATCAAAGCTCGCTACATTAAACTCCGACCAACAGCATGGTATGGTCATATATCACTAAGAATGGAGTTGTATGGTTGCTCAGTAGGTATGATTGTTGTCTTACACTTGTTTTGGCACTGAAAGTTAGAAGGGTGAAACGTACATGTTTTGATTACCAGTGTAATGCTGAAATGTGGATTCTGGAGGAAACGCTAAATTGTAAAATTTAGAACTTTTTTTTGGTATTTAATGTTGCTATTAAGCTTTAGTGGAGATTCCAGAATGTCTTCCTTTTGAGGCGGGTCAGTCTGTCCTGGGCTGGCAGCAACCAGGCAGGAAATTTATTACGGGATAAGAAAAGCCTTTAGTTTGATCTGTCTTACAGCGAAGTCCGGGCTCAGATGGCATTCCTGTTGAGGTTTTACCGTAAGCGAAATCAGCGCTCTCTTGCCACCTGCTCCTACGCCGGTGCTGGGAGTGGGTATGAGTATGGGCTGGGCTGGGTTGCTTAACCTTGCACGCACAAGAACCAAAATCAAAGTGTAGTGAGTCGTGGGCCGGGTTGTTCAAAGCTGGGTTAAGATAACCCAGGGTTAGTTTGAAATCTGATTTGAAATCTGAAAGCTTTAAAAGAAAATTCATTATAATGTTATTTGTGTACAATTTTAAGATAGGATGCCCTAAAAAGAACAGAGAAAATTATCCAAAAGGGCATTTGAACAAAGTAATAAAGATAGCTAAATTAAAATTGAGCCCTGGCTGAGTTCGTGCTAATCGGCCTTGTAACAGCTTTGCCGCTCTGACGTCCCACATTTAGGTGGGCCTTTAGTTTCCATCATTTCCATTACTCCTGCGTTTTGACTTTTTCTACGAATAAAATTCGCCTTTAGCTACCTTGAACTTAACCCAGTCGCTTGTTAATTCCTTTTAAAACAACCTGCATTTTATTACTTATTTTTCACACGCAGGGCAAAGTCTAGATGGGCAACAACTAATCAAGGAGCCCTCTCTGATATTATCGTTTGCTCTTGTTCAGTGTATCTTCACTTATTCGAGATCGCATTATATCTTTGGTTATGGTCTAGTAGAGGTACAACAGAGTTTCAATTTGCTTTTCGTAGTAAAATTACGCGGAATTTTTTTTTAGGCAACTTATTATAGACGAATAATTTTGATTTTCTCTATGTTCGAGGGACGGCGGTAAGCATTTCTTTTGCAACCGTTATTTGGTCTCGTCACGCAACGCACTCTCTCTCCAACGGGAAATGGAGGGCGTTGGCTGACGAGAATAAACAACAGCGGCGAAGTAGACAACAGTAAGCGTGGCACCGATTTCATTTTTACTTAGAAATATTTAGGTAATAGACCACAAAATATCTGTGTGAATTCAGATAAATTAGGTTTTTTCTGTCTTTCTCTTAAGGTGAAGTGATGCGATATTTTCGTTCTTTTGAAAGTTATGCTCTTTTCAGTTGCAAAACTGAAAACATTAAGTATACAAACTGTCGCCTCTCAACCCACACAGCAAAAAAATTAACTTTTGCATGCTACGCATGCCTATGTTCTACTTTGTGTCAACTTACTTGTTTCGAATCAGTTATTTCAGTTTTTTTTTTTGGTTTATACATATTTCCAATCGAGATTGTATGTACCATCCGATTCTAAAATTTTGTATGTTTATACTACTATACTTGTATATTTTCACTAAAAGCTCCTGGAGTAAATGTCCTCTGCGGCGATAAAACCATGACCATTGTCATCCCAAAGACCCTCCTCCGTGGTCTTGATTTAAAGAATCTTCGACTCCTGGACACCAAATGTAAAGGCAAAGAAGGACGGACCCACCTTAGCGTTACAACATCATTGACGGGCTGTAAAACTGTCAGCAGATATACACCCACAGCTATCATCTACTCCAACACACTGAAAATACCCGTGGCCGCTAAAAGTGCTGTAACACGCGTACATGACATAAAAGTGCAGTTCAGCTGCTATTACTCAGCGCATGGTATAGTTTCATCGCTTGGTTGGACGCCAATTAAAACAACACTTGAGCTTCGAGAAGAGGCCAAAGGGAACTTGACACTGTCGTTGAGAATGTTTCACAACAAGGCATTTGTGAATCCTTACACGAAAGTTGATTTCCCTGTTGCTGTGGAGCTGCGTAGACGATTGTACTTTGAGGTATCCGTGGCAACAGATGACAAAAAGCTGTCAGTCAGGGCTGATCGATGTTATGCCACGCCCACCCGGGATCAAAAGAATTCTCTGAAATATGAGTTTATAAAGAAAGGGTATGTTTAGTGATAAATGTTTTGGACACTTAATTTCTACTCCTTTCGAAAAATTACTCTTGGTTTATTTTGCGGTTACTTGAGACGTTTTCCTAAGCAAGTTAGTGACAAGTAAGAAAAATTGGACACACTTCGTAATCTTGAATTCCATGATGATCAACATAAGTTAAAAAAAAAAACTTTTGTTAAGGATATTCTTAGGTATAATTTCACCTTGATCAAGGAAATTTGCTTTACTTTAGCTGCCCAAGTGACGTAACGGTGAAATATCATTCATCGCCTTCTTCTCGTGCTCAGCGGTTCAGCGTGCTCAGCGGTTCTCGTGCTCAGCGGTTACTTGAGACGTTTTCCTAAGCAAGTTAGTGACAAGTAAGAAAAATTGGACACACTTCGTAATCTTGAATTCCATGATGATCAACATAAGTTAAAAAAAAAAACTTTTGTTAAGGATATTCTTAGGTATAATTTCACCTTGATCAAGGAAATTTGCTTTACTTTAGCTGCCCAAGTGACGTAACGGTGAAATATCATTCATCGCCTTCTTCTCGTGCTCAGCGGTTCAGCGTGGAAGCCTTTAAGTTCATTAGTGCTCATCCCTTTGTTTTCGTCCACTGCCAAGTGACTGTATGCAATGCAACCAACCCAGGTTCCAAATGCTCGATGAAATGTCCTTCAAGTGGCCGAGGGAAACGTGAGCTGAGTGATAACGTGACTTACGACGTGTACTCTTTAGTGCAGGGACCCCTGCACCTGACGCACGAGAAAAGAAAGGAGAACCGCGGGAGAATTCTGGATAAGACTGGTACGTCGATGAGCTGTTTCCGGGGACACATATTAGGGATGCATCCTGAGGATAAATTCTATCCCCGGCCCCCAGTACCCCATGGACCCCTCTTGAAAGGCCCCTCAAGATTTTTGAGTTGTGAAAAATATCTCTGATAACTTTCCCCATTCCCAAAATGATTCACCCTTCTTTGTTTGTATATTTTTTTCCCGACCTAATTACAAACGTATTGTTACGACATCTTAAACCAGCATGGTACAGTATGACGCTTCGCAAGTGAGGATTTTTCAACTTTGCAGTGAAATTTCTTTTGAATTAAGTCTATATTCCCCCTTTTCTGTGACGTCCCTAGGTTCCAGTCCTCACATTCCGGAGGCTCTGTCCGCTGACAATCATCACAAGTAGCTTCAAACTCATTTACACTTGGACTTGAACCACTGAAGGATGTTTGAGCTGGATATTCGTATAAAGGGTGTTTCACAAGTTCGTGCCCATTTTTCTAAAAGGCTATATCTTACTTATTTTTGCATTCTGGAAGCCGTATCTTTAAAAAAATTACCTAATTTTGCTTACTTTAACCAAGTTTTATAGTCATCCAAAAGTTGAAGGGGAAAAAAACATATTTAAAATAATTTTCCGGCATCACAGAAATAATTTCTGTGATGGCTAACCGACTAATAAAAAGCACTCACTTTTCGCGTAATTGTTTTTTTCTTTTTCGTAATTTTTACATCGCTATTGACCCGGAACAAATAAGAAATATTTTTTTTCCTTTTTTGATGTTTTTATTATTATTATTATTATTATTATTATCATTATTATTATTATTATTATTTCAAGGTAGCTAAAGAATCGTATTAATCCTTAAAATCCTGTTATCTCTTCTACTTCTCCAGCTCAAGCATACCTCTTATATTTAGACGCTGAATAATCTCAAAAACTGACGAAAAAAATATGCGGAACAGCGACAACAGCAAACAAACAATTGTAACTTACAAATAATTTTGATATTTAAGTTCGGTTCTTGAGGTTACTCACTGATCTAACTCAAACAGGACTGTCGAAAAGATTTGATATGTGTAAGGGTGCCTGCGCCTATATTTTTCTCATTTTGTAGTACGGAATGACAGAACTGGCTCTTCAATCAGCTGTTAGTCGAAAAGGGATTATTACTGAAGAGATTTTAAACCTGTCTTTAGTAAGACTGAATAACCACTGAATGCTAGTTTGCCGAGTTATAGAAAAACTCAGCAGCACTTTTCTAGGAAAAGAAGATGGTTTAGGATTGGCCATCCTTAGAGGCATTGCAGGTGATCAAGTTAAGAATTAATAGTATGACATCTTACTAATGAGCCAGCAGCTTTAAACGTTAATGATGCCGCATATAGTGCTGTGATGGGACGGCAGGCAGAAGGTTACTGAACGCGAAGAATTAGAACTTTCCTATTAAGGCGCTAGCACAAGAAAATAATCCAAGATTGATTGAAGCTTCTGTTTTTTCCAGTCTTTGAAAATTGAAAAATAACTGCATTAAGCTTTTGAGGTACGGGATATTGAATCGAGGTTTTAAGTTTTACGGTAGTGATGAAGAGTTATTAAGGAACATCAGCTGGTTGACAGAGCCTTTTTCTCAAGTTTAATATTTTATTTTAAAGAAATGGTGAAGGGAAATGATGTGGGTATTAACTTACACATAAAAACAGGCATAGTGCTCTTATATACACGAGTGATTGGATGTTACGAGAGCATAAGGTTGACCATAATGGATAAGATGTTTTCATCCCGGAAACTCTCTGCTCAAGATATTTTTGACGTGGTGTTCAGTTAATACTTAGGTATCCTGCTGGGGAGCTGTTGCTTGAAAGTAAAATAAATTGAAGAAACAGAATTTTGCCCTCATTTATTAGATCACATTCAAGACGTAAAATGACTCCTTGAGCCTTTGGAAGAAAAAAAAGCGGGAAAGGTTGAATCATTACCTTCGTCATTGTCGTTATCATTTGTAAATCATTTGAGCTTTTCTCGTAATTGGAATATATTTCTTAACATACAATAGAGATGTTATCTCGCCAGCTTTAGGTTCAGCAATCATCAGCCTCATTTCCTTGTTTACCTACTCACTTAGTTTTCCACTCAGTTAAGGAGTCTCCAACGTTGCCCAAATCAGAGTGGCAGTCAAGTATTTGCACAACGTATTCGTAATGTTATAAGTGATCCTTGGGAGAGATTTGTCATCTACTTTTTCCCTTCCTTGTGGACTTTTAAAGTCATCGAAATCGTTCACTAGGCTTTGTATCGTGATAGCACGGTGCCGTTCATAGCTGAAAGATGTTTTGTGACGTGTCTTTAAATTTTGAGCTGTTCAAAAACTGCAAATTATGGAAAGATTGTCAAAACGGACTTACAGTTAAAACCTACTATTTTAGCGTATGTCTCTTAAATTGTTGATAAGTCAGGTAACTTTCGAAACACTGCGAATTGCAGAACGTGATCAAACTTTAGTTTTGAGTACTCCATTTCAGTCTAATTTTCTTTCACCCAAGATCCTGTGAGCCATTTGTGGGAAATAACGCCGGGGGGTGGGTGCACGCCTTCGCTTCGCTCACTGCTCACGCTTTAAATGGAAAATGAACGTTAGCTCCTTATCAATTGTTCCCGAAATGCATCATCAAAAGTGTTTTCATTTAATCGTTTACCCGTTTCGTAATTATTTGGTTTACTGACAATCCCATTCCTTGCAATTGAAAACTTTATTCTACGGCCCCCCTTATAGGCATTCACGCTAAACGGAACTTTGTTTACATTTCCATTTGTAACCTACATTTTATTCACTTGTGCCATAAGATTCTTGCTCTTCCTATCATCTTTACCTCTTTCCCTTTATCAAAGGTGGTACTTGCCACCCACGATAGATTGCCGGTATCTGATGAAAAGTCAGACCAACGGGATTCGAAGCAGTTTATCCTAACAAATTCTTGTTCCTCCGCATTTTTTGAGAAAACTCGGCAGCGTTCTCTGAAATCGTTCTCTGCAATCAGAACGACCTCGCACACGCGTTAGAAGAATAAAAATCTTTTGTCTACTTATAATGATCTCGTAGCCATATCGCTTGTCATGCATACATTCCTAAAATAGTACAAAGATTTTAATGTGAGTTTGTTGACCGCCCCTACACGATTAAGAGCTTCTTCTAAAGGAAATTCTGTCTTATCCGGAGGAAACACGAATCGTTGATTAAGTGATGGAGAAACTTAGCTGAAAAGGAGTTATATTGAAATCTCAACAATGTCTAGGAGAATTCATCCCCACGATTTTTCTTCGCAAAAGGAGGACAAGAGGATATGGAGTTAACCTCAATTTGAAGAACCTGAGTAAATTTATTAGTAACCATCATTTCAAAAATAGAACAGAAGAATATAGCGTCATCCATAATTTGAAGAACTTCAATCCATGTATCAGTAAACAATCATTTCAAATTAGAAGGCTTGACTTCAGCGGTCTGTCTTATGACACGTGGGTGTTACACGACATCTGAAGATTTACGAGATTCCTCTTACTCTGTCCCAGTTGACAAGAACTGCGGAAAATATTTAAAGTTCTCTTGGAAGGGGGATTGTTTTAGTTTACCTGCCTTCCCAACGGTCTGGAATCTGCTCTACGACTTTTTCGCCAAACTGCTTAACCTTTCACATTAGTATGAAAATTCTCCACACTGTTCTTTATATATTTCCCAATGTGCTGACAAGGAGAATTTGTTTGCTAATCAAAAGATTCCTTCCCTGGAGACCATTTCCTTTATTCTCAAGACCTTAATGTGTGATTCAGGGCTGATACTGTAAGGAGAAATTAGATGCTAGTCACTCTAAGGGTATAAAGGTCTAAACCTGTTTATAAGACTGGGGAGGGAAAGAAATTTGTACCAAGGGGGCGGTCGACGGTCAAAAATAAGAAGAGGGTGGGGGTGGAAGAGTGAAGATTTCCCCGCCCTGCATCAAACAAAACACGGCCGGTTGAATAAACGATCGCGAGCTAGTTAACGTTAACTCGCCCTCATAAGACGCCTGCAGTAAAGGCTACCCCTATTCTGCTTTAGTTATAGCACTGTTGAGATCAACTGTGGGGGTTCATCTTCCTTTGATTTCTCACTTAAAGCCTCATTGCAAAAACAGTGGTCTTCGTCTCAGTCTTTCATTTATATTATGTCCACGTGAGTGCACAGTTCCTTCAAACGAATGATCTCGTCATAAATGTGACCCTCTACGGGAAAACAGAGAATAAGGTGAACGCAAGGCAGCGATTGCTAGGCTGGTCGCTCTAGTCAGGAAGGATCAAGAGACAACAAGTCCTTTTCCAGTCTTCTTGGTTCTCTTCAAATAAAATCATTAAAGCTTTGTTTTGCTCATTCTGCTTTTTCCAAAAAAGAAATATCGGTAAGCGCCCTGTCCTTGATAAGCGCCCTGTCCCTAATTACCGCCTTCCCTCGAATGAGCGCCCTCCTTTGAGGTACCAAAAGTAAATAAGCGCCCCGAGCGCTAAATCGAATCATTACGGTGAATGCCACGGCTGAAATTATACAGGGCCTATGAACACGCTTATTAAAATATCAAATCATACACATATACCCAAAGAAAACTGTCTATCAGCCCTTTCACTAACAGAAGGGAATCACATTCAGCTCCTCCTTACAATAACCTCACGCCCTCCGACAAAAATGTGTAATGAGAATAGTCAAATATATCCGCTACATGCTAGTTTTACCTCGGTATAAGAAAATTATTGGGAGCTAAAATCGTGAATTAATAATCACAACTTGGAAAAAAATATACTTAAAATCATGAGGTTGAGGGTCAGTGATGATTAGCCTAGAACCATGAATGAGATTGTTACAAAAGAAAAAAAATTCCTAAATTGATATGATTTGTTCACCAAGAAAAACCGAAACTACATTACATTCGTTTGAGTATGTTTCAGGGTCTAAAAAGACATAAAGTGAAAAACTCGACTAAGTGGCATAAAAACGTCGCCAACAAGGTATATGATTCTGTGTCTTACCTAAAACGTATTATGTGTTAAACTGTTTTATAAGTAATTTCTTAAGGAAAAAAAGAAAACCCACATAGCAAACAATCCAGAAAAAAGACGAAATCAGATTATACACTTTGCAGTAGACCTCTCTTGAAAGTAGGATTGTTCAAAACTTTACGCCCAAACCAAGAGAAAGTAAGGGGGTTATTTTCTCAGGCCTGAGTTGATTCCGCAAAATGAACGTGGAAACAAGTCAAGAACATTTGCATCTGTTTTATAGAACAATCAATCGATATCCTATTTTATAATCCATGACGCCGGACTCTAGCTTGACGTATGTAGGTCCTAGAGCTGCAATGCGTCCTTCAGTGCTCACTGCAATCTTATACAGGAAATAGCCACTTTTGTAGATAAAAACGCTTCGTACAAACTCACCATCTTTGGTGTATATTCCAATACATAGGAGCTCTTTTTCATCGTCAGTACTAGCCAAGACGACTTGTTGACTTTCCCTGTGAAATGCAATGTTTGGAAAGTGAACAAACCCTTTGAGATCAAACTTACTTAGATGATCACCGAGTTCGCTAAATATGTGTACACAATGAGAAGGCGTTTGGTCCACCACCATAACTCTGCCATCACTTACAGTGCTGATGTCTCGCGGGCTCTTCAAATTTTGTTCTCCAAAACTGCAAACAAACTGGCCATCAGTCTCGTATAGATCCACAAAATGATAGTCCTTTGTATAATTGCCTTTCAATACCATCACTTTGCCACTATCACTAACTGACAGTTTACACAGATTGCACTCGAGGTCCATTGTCCTCTCGCGAAACTTGTGATACTGGTCAGCGGATTTATCGAACTTAAAAATCCAACGCTGATGATTCTTTTCTTCAACCAGCACATAAATGTTGTCGTTTATGTCTGTCGCCAGTTTAACCTTCCAGTTTTCTGTAGATAGCTCTTTACCATTGTCATCAACAAGAGGAGGAAGTCTGAAACACTTCGCAAATTTGCCACTATTGTCAAACACCTTGATTGTCAAGTCATAGTCGGCTACAATATATTGCCCGCTTGAGTTGGTAGCGAAACAGTGAAAGAGGCAGGTCAAAATCGTTACCAGCTTTTAAGTATGTCTAAGAATAATAACAGTCCATCAGAAGCTTCAAATAGTCACAACAGAAATAAACGGTTTTAAACATAATCACTGATTAGAAACTCAATATATGTGAATGCTCACATGATGACAATGCATAACTGTGCCGTGACTCAAAAGATGAACTCAAACTGATAAACAACACAAAAAAATCAGTATGATCATTCAATAATAATTCATTCTTCTTTATCAATTCAGAATTGTTTTAAAAGGATAACGAAAGACTTGTCTTTATCATAAATTAGAGATGACAGAAAATTATGAGGGGTAATTCACTATTGTGTTACTGCATGTATTTCTCGTTGGACTAAGCCTTCACCAAAGATGTCAAAGCGGAGGAACGGGGAAAGTGCGGTTTTTGTCAGAAACTCTTAAATAACTTGCTACATTACTTTGTGTTCATTCAGTTTACTGATTTTCACTTGCCAAGGTTTAACTTCTGTGTCTTCAGTGCCACGAATTAATCTGTCCAAAAATAAACAATCTTCAACCTGTTTGGGTCACCGAGTGATAATCTGTTGAACTCACCGACATTTTTAAGATTATTTAAAGTTTTTTTTTTTTCGCCCTAACGTTCAACTTACAGTTTTGATAGCAAGAAAACGAAAAGGTTAATTAAACCGAAAGGCTACCTTTAATTTCATAGCCTTTCCCAAGTTCAAATAAATTTAATTATTTCCCGTCTCTCGCACTGTGTGAGGGCTTTAAGAAAGTATTGGGGATGGGTATATTTAAGATAACGACTGGGACGATCAAATGAACAAGACAATGGGGTCATGTAATCACGAGGTTGATCTACTGCTCGACGAAAGACTCTTGCATTGAATAAATAGGCCAAGTTATTTCCATTCTCTACTCGCTTATCTTTCCGGCGAAACGAATTGTGTCGAGCTCAGCGCTGAGTAAAAATGGCACGCAAGCGAGTGAAATAGATCTCCGTTTAAGCGAGTTAAATGATACAGTAGCCGTGTCTGAAATTTTCTTTTCATTAACCGGGCTTTCGTACTTTTCTCGCCCCGCCATCAAGCCGCAAGCCTTTAAGCGAAATTTGGAAACAAATCAACATGCGCTCACAAATTTTCATTAATAGTAGGCCCTTTGAATTGGCGGTAAAACTAAAACAATACGATCAAAACAATTTTTAACGGTCTATCAGCGCTTAAACTGAACGCTCAAAAACGCAAACGGTTCAACAGTGGACGTGTAGTGATATGAATCATTTGTTGGAGTCAGCTTTCATATGGCTCACGACTAAGAGCAAAAATTTAACATGATGGGAAAACAATTTGTTAAATCAATAGTCCTTTTTATCAAACTGAGGACGGGAGTAATACGAAAAAAGGGCGGAAGTTGGGAAGCAAAGGGCTGCAAAAGTACGGGAGGTGTGAGAACGTGGTACGGGAAGTTGGAGGCTGTGGGGCAAGAGTTGTACTCGAAATTCAACGAAATCATACAAAAAAAAAAAAGAACGAAAGAGGTCGAAAACAAGAAAAAATTCAGCAAGTGGTAAATTTTGCCAGTATTGACTATATTTCAGCTTTCACTAGATACAAAAAAATTACGTTTTTCATTAGCGGGCAAGAGTTCCATCTGGCCCGCTTGAGTAGCCAAGCAGAGCAAAGGACTCGCATCATCTCATCCACATGCTCTGCTAGGTATGAATTAATTAGCATTTACTGACAAGTTTGATTTGATCTCCAAGGATCATTATACTAATTTTTTACCATCCAACGCGACAAAGTTCACTGCAGAAATTGGTCTTGTTTGAAAATTGACACGTAGAAAACAACAGCCAAATACAATACTAAATTTGATTAATGAAACATTCGACAGGAAAAGCACAAGTGTTCAAAACTACTTAAGCAAACACTGGGCCTATCACAGCAGTAACTGTCCAAGCATTATGCTTAAAGGACAGATAAGGCTAACGTTAAGATTATCGAAAAAGAGGAACACCAAGATTAAAATATAAAATGACGCACATACATGAGAGAGACTGGATATCAACCCCTTTCACTCACACAAGAGAATCACATTCAACTTCTCCTTACAATATCCATACATTATCCAGTAAACAGGTAATGAGAATAAACAAATATCTCAGCTTATTGCTGTGTCAGATGTGTCGCCTTGCCATGACATAAAAAAAATATTTCCTCTCAGTAAAAGGAGATGTATGGCAGTTACAATGTGCAATTTTATTAATACATCTAAAGAAGTGAGGACCACAAGGCTGATTGCCAAAAAAGCATCATATCTCAAGCTAAGCCTAGAGCCACCAATAAAGTCCCTACATGATCTATGATGTAATGCTTATTTTCCAGGAAAATTTCAAAACCGCATTGCATTTGTTCAATTAAATTCCAACGCATCAAAAGTTAACAAATTGAGGATATGAAACCTTTCATTTTGGGCATGAAACTTTAGTCTCAAGTTACATCATGGCATGCGAAAAGTAAAGGCATTTTGCTTATTATGTTAATTACATGATTATTGCTGCAAAGTACCAATCCATCCTTAAAAATGATTAGTCTGTAAACTAAACGTGATTTTTAAATAATGCAAGTAATTTAGTGTTAACAACTGGGTTGAAAACGTAAATTAGCCACCGTAAAGGGTAAAAAAGCTGACGTTTCGAGCGTTAGCCCTTCGTCAGAGCAATTTCGTTTTCAACCCAGTTGTTAACACTAAATTACCTGCTATACTCTCCCACCGACGCAGCACCACAGTTTCTTTAGAAACTTACCCCTTTATTCATTTTTAAATAATGATTACTTGGCGTGTTGCATCTTCATGCTGGGTTAGTACTGCAATGCGTCCCTCAGTGGTCCCTGCAATCCCATCCAGAATAACGGACTCTCCCATAGGGATAACAGTACTTTGCACAAACTCACCATCTTTGGTGCATATTAGTTTAGTCAGGAGGTCTGAATTATATTCCTTAAGAGCGGCCACAATGACTTGTTGACTTCCCTTGTGAAAAGCAATTTTTGGATAGGTCGTAGACATTGGCAAATTGAACTTGTTTATATAATCACCTTGTTCGCTTATGCACCACCATAACTCTGCCGTCACTTACAGTAGTGATGTCGTACGGGCTCCTCAAGATTTGTTCTCCAAAACTGCAAACAAACTCACCATTAGTCTCATATACATTTACAATCCCAAAATTTTCTTTTACAGTAACTCTTCAGTACCAGCATTTTACCACTATCACTGACTGACAATTTACATAGCTTAAAGTCGAAGCCCATCCTCCTGATTTGAAGCGTGTGATGCTGGTCAGCGGTTTTGTTAAACCTAAAAATCCAGTTTGAGTCCATACGACTCTCCTCGCTGACCAGGACATAAATGTTGTCATTCGTGTCTGTGGCCAGAGGAAACGACCAGGTTTTAATTAATAGCACCTTACCGCTGTCATCAATAAGAGGAGGAATTCTGAAACGTCTCACAAAATTGCCATTGTTGTTGAACACTTTGATTGTCAAGTCATTGTATGCTACAATATATTGCCCGCTTGAGTTGGTAGTGATACCACGCGGATTATTTAACCCGTGAACCTCTACGCCATCATGACCAAGTATCCATGATACACAACAGTTCTCCATTCCCTGTTTACCGAGTATTTCTCTTACTCTCCGATCTCGCAGCAGATCAACTCTCTCCTTTCCTGCATCAATCTCGGGCCATTGTGGCAATGATTCTTTAACGGATATTGTTTGTGTGATATCGTGGGCGATACAATTAACAAGATATACACCGGAAATAACTTTCCAGCGTTCTTTGTTAAATAAACTCTTCACTGCCCTGATTCCTGTTTTGAGCTGTTGTTGAAGACTTTGCTGAACCACTGGCAGACCATTTAGCTTTTCAATACACACTTTACATGGTGCTACAGCATCTGCGGGATGGTCTATTGTTTCTAATACTGTGGCCATCACTCGGTACTGCATTGCTATGATGCGGTCAGTTGTTGATAGCGCTTCATTTGGAAAAATTGATTCCACTCATTTCGAAGCTTCAACATCCCCCCTCTCCCCGGCTGAGTAACGCACAGGCATTTGACTGTCTTCCGGGGGAGGAGAGAAATTTTGAACCCTTCCTGGGTAGAGTGAGGAACTTAAACCAGAGCTGTCATGTGAAAAAGGCATTCTTTTTTCTCCTGGTCTTTCTTAGGACACTAGTTTCGAAATTCAATACTATTTTTACATGATTTGTACGCATTTGCGACGACTGATTTCTGATCGCACATTCCAGATTATTGAAGAGCTGATGTGAAGAAAACGAACCACCGTGATTCAATACAGTTAAGTTGCACGCGTTGTATCGAGAGAATGTTATTAAGGAAAGTCATGAACAAAGCCATTTTTTGATATCCAAGGTTCGCAAGAAAGAAATTTGTTTCTAAATATCTCCTTGTTATATCAGTCAGTTTTCTTTTTTTTACTTTTTTCTCTTATCCTCACAAGAGAAAAATCCGCATTACAAAATGTGACTGTAACAAACAGAACTTTGGGAGAGATCTCTGTTGCTGTTGCTGAACCTTTTCCTATTCCTTAAATTTTGGATCTGCATACTAGTTTTTCCTCTGTTGTACTTTATTATCAATTTCGACTTTACTTTCTTTCCTTTCTTCTTTTTTTGTTTGTTTTTGTTTTTTAATCTTGAAGATTCTGCAGGCCGATACCCGGAAAAAGACGGCCGTTTTTTTCCTTTTTCGTACTCTGTTACCCTCCATCTTTGGTGCCCTAACTCTACCTTTGATTTTTGTTGTCCTGATTTCTTTCTTTATCAAATAGAAAACCTCGAGCAACTCCACGATGTAAGTCAGCTCCTTCTTGTAGGCGTAAGAATACAGCAAAGTCTGAAAGCTCTAATGAATCAGGGTAATACATAGTAACTTTCACGGTTTCTCTCTATCTTTTTCTTTCATTTCTACTTCAAAACTCTAATCTTTCTGTTCGCTCTATACCCATCTCAGTCATTTCGTCCCATCTTTCTATAAATTAATCGTTAATTCACGACTGCCGATCAAAAAATTCAAATCAAACGCACGAAGTGCATTTGATTCGAATTTCTTTATCGGCCTAAGTGACAATTTTGAAGCTTGTGGTTTCGTTTAGGGTGTGCAAAGCGGATCTCAATAGAAATTAGGACTATGCTATACAGTTTCCTGTTCTCACAAACGCAGATGCACTTATGAAGTTTTTCGATTATTTTACCCTAACATTTACCCTAACTTGTTATCAGTTGACTGTCGTTGGGTTAGGGGAGGGGTAGGAGCGTATTTTCTCCAACAGTGATTCCAAGTTCAGTTTTAAAGTGACAAAGATACTTATGTAAAGTGAAACCAGTTTCTTTACTGAAACGACGATGGCCATTAAGGCCCAGTGTGACCATCAGACCTACAGTTCAAACTTCCGCCGACCCAGGCGATGTTAGAACTTTATTCAAGACAACATATACCACAGTGGTTTCAAAAGAAGCTTTCTGATATTTTGTCACAGCCAGCACCAAATAGTATTATGTCAAGAATCATTATCCGTCTTTTTATTTGCAGTGCTTCAGCTCCGGTGCTTCTGCTCAAAATAAAGAAGAAGTCAACAAAATCGCACACAACCAAGGTTAGTTTTTCTCAAACTTCTTGTAGAAAGTGCAGTCCGTTTGTACTGAATATGCACTTATTCCATGGGAAGTCATTTCAGTTTTTTGAGCTCCTCTTCACGATACGTTTGACTTGCTACAACTGAATAGTATACACTTTATATTTACTTTGTATATGAGTTTATCTTCCACATTCAACCTGTTTAACTCTATCGTCCTTAGTTTGCCTCCGTTGTCGAATTTTTTTATCCTCTCCAAACATCGTGTTTGATTTCCAGATCAGCCATTCAACTCTACGAAATCGTTCTAACTTAGCAAATTCTAGCCGAACGTGCAAGATTTTTAAGAACTCTTCGCGCCGAGTGACCACCTTACCTCAGATCAAAGAGCGTGGAGCAGTTAAAGCGATTTGTTGTACGGTTCTCTGTTTGTTAGTACTAACAGCACTGATTAAAACTTCGAAGAATTCATTCGCACCGTAAAAATATTCAGTTAGCTACGCATTCAGTTAGTTTTCCGCTTATACGAGCTGTTAATCAAACGAACCCACAATCAAGGGTTACAAAGCCACTTTATGACCACGGAACATAACAAAGTTTTTTCGTTATCAACACAGCCACGCTAGCGCGTTGATCCGTGCTTTCATTCCAATGTTTAGTGACATCATGATGCAAAACTCACTTTTGTGAAGACTGCTAAATATCTGCTGAGTAAGATTTAAAAACGAATAATAGGCAATGATAAACCCCGCTGAATACCCGCAATGATAAATCCTCTTTTCCACTCGACTTTATCATCACACCTCTGCCCTCGTGTTGCTGTGATGGCTGCCAGCGTTACGAGGAAGACTGGAGACCAGTCAAACCTTGCATAGGGTAATTCAGTATTATCCATTGAATTGATAACGTAAATTAGCCACTGTGAAGAGTATCAAAGAGGCCAATTGATTTAATTGTGAAGGAATTGAAAAACACTGCATCTCATCGTGAAACACACAATATAACACAATTATTTTAATGAATTAAAAACGATTGTGAAGAATCTTTCGTTGAACTCTGATGTGTACAGGGGAAAAATTACGAGACAGAGATTCCCAAATATGTCCATCGAGATTCAGAAATGGATAAGCTTAACACTCAAACGGTTTACCTGCTATACCTTCGAATGAAAAAAGGAAAAAAATGAAAAACAAAAGTAAAAGAGTGTAAAAAGAACTGATCATGTGCATGTTGTTAACATAAACTTGTGACGTTACACGGAAGAGGCTGACCCGCTGGTTCATTCTCGACATGCGTATGATTTCAGACCAAATTGCATTCCACTTAATTCAATTACCATTATGAATTAAGTTATCTTTAGGGAAACCAAGAGTTCCAGCGCTGTCAATCTCCCTTTCGTTCCTATCTTCACGTTCCTGTAAAAGATGCCTTAAAATCGCTTTAGCGCATGGAGAACGACAAGTATTCCCTCGACAAACGAACAGGATTTTTCGATATTTAGAATCCACCATCTTAGATTGCAATAAGGCGAATGAATCGTAAAGTGCCTTTATGCTAATTTGCATCTTGTTAGAAGGGTATATTATTCATCGCGCACGTGCATTGGGAATCAACCAACTTGAAAACATATGGAAGCTCTTTCTTTCAAGTTCTTGGATAACGACAGCTATAAACACCAAAATTTAATTATATCCTTCGAATCCTGTAGTGTTGTAACTAACGAAAAGTCCACGATTCTTTTCAAATGAAGGATATTTATTAGGTAAGAATGCCTTGCGCCGCTAACGTGGAGGGGGACAGAGAGGCAGGAGCCCGGGAGAACAGAGGTCAGAAGAGGGCGGGAGAAGGGATCTACACGAGGACGGGAAGCAGGAGCAGAGACTGAAAAGGCACTCGTTTGTTATTTCTTAGAGCTTATCATTCAGTCAAAAACCTGTACTCAGCAAAGTTTTTTTTAGTGTGACCTAATTCCATTTAAGGTCCACCGAAGCATTAAAGATAATTTAATTCGTGCAGAAACATAAACGTGTAATCAACCGGTGTAATTAGATATCTCTCGAAGTCGGTTACGTCATAGGTCATGAATGAGATAAAAGGAAACATGTACACAGTGTTAGCAGTAGTAGCAGTCCGAATTATTCAGCGAGCAAAGCGAGTCACGTCCAACGTCGTCCAAGGACATCTTGATAAGCCGTAGTATTTTTATATGTGGCAATGAAAAATCAGACCTCATTTCTGCAACATGCTTCTGTTAAAATCACACAATCACAAAGCTGAATCATACTGCTAGTAAATAAATGTATCATGTAATGTATTAACAACTTTTAAACCTTTCTGGAGAGGTTTCAAAAAGACTTCAACTTCTCAAAGAAATCCGAGTAGTTTTAAAACGTGACTCCGAGATCAGCCGAACAATAATGGGCATTAACGGTCTATCAGCGCTTAAATTGAACGCCCAAAAATGCAAACGGTTCACTAATGGATGTGATGTGTAGTGATATGAACCATTCGCTGAAGCCAGCTCTCATGTAGCTCATGACTACAGCTACTTCCCACGAAGAGCGAATATTACACATAATTTAAAAGCAATTAGCTAAATCAATAGTCCTTTTTGTCAAACTGAAGACGGAAATAATACAAAAAAGGGTGGGAGTTGGCAGGCAAAGGGCTGGAAAAGAACTGGAGGTGGAGAACGTGGTACGGGAAGTTGGAGGCTGCGGGATAAGAGTTGTACTCGAAGTTCATTGAAATCATATAAAAAAAGAAGTTAAGGGAAAACAAGAGCAAATTCAACAAGTGGTTGAAGCAAGAGTTCCATTTTGCCCGCTTGAGTAACCAAGCAGAGCAAAGGACTCGCATCATCCCACCCACGTGCTCTGCCAGCTATGAAATAATTAGCATTTACTGATAAGTCTGATTTGATCTCTAAAGATCATTGTACTAGTTTTTTACCACCTAAATTTGTCACGCGACAAAGTTCACTGTAGAAATTGTTCTTGTTTGAAAATTTTCACGCAAGAAACAACAGCTAAATAAAATACTAAATTTGATTAAAGAAACATTCCACAAGAAAGCACAAGTGTTCACAACTACTTAAGCAAACATTGGGCCTATCACTGCGTAACTGTCCACGCATTATGCTTAAAAGACGGATAAAAGCTAATGTTAAAATTATCGAAAGGCAGGAACACCATGATTAAAATATAAAATGACGCACATATATGTAAGAGAGACTGGATATCAACCCCTTTCACTCACAGGAGGGAATCACATTCAACTTCTCCTTACAATATCCATACATTATCCAGTAAACAGGTAATGAGAATAAAAAAATATCTCAGCTTATTGCTGTGTCAGATGTGTCACCTTGCCATGACATAAAAAAAATATTTCCTCGTATTAAAAGAAGTTATGTGGTGGTTACAATGTCTAATTTTATCAATACATCTAAATAAGTGAGGATCATAAGGCTTGGTTGCCAAATAAGCATCATATCTCTAGCTAAGCCTGGAGCCATCAATGAAGTTCCTACATGATCAATGATGTAATACTTATTTTCCAAGAAAATTTCAAAACTGTATCGCATTTGTTCAGTTAGATTCCATGGCATCAAAAGTTAATAAATTGAGGCTATCAAAGCTTTCATTTTGGATACGAAACTTTAGTCTTAAGTTACATCATGGTGTGTGAAAAATAAAGGAATTGTACTTATTATGTTAATTTCATGATTATTGACTCAAAGCACCAGTTAATCCTTATTAGTAATTAGTCTGTAAACTAAACGTGATTTTAAATAATGATTACTCCACGTGTCAGTAAATTTTTAAACTGGGTTACTATTGCAATGCGTCCCTCAGTGGTCACTGCAATCCCTTGTAGATAAGAGATGGACTCTCTCATACGGATAGGAGCACTTCGCACAAACTCACCATCTTTGGTGTATATTTCTATACACAAGATGTCTGAATTATATTCCTCAAAACCGACCACAACGACTTGTAAACTTTCCCTGTGAAATGCAATTTGTGGATACTTCAGAGACCTTTGCAGATCAAACTCATTTATATAGCAGCCTTGTTCGCTACTTATGTGAACACCTGTCGGATTCCATCCTTGCACCACCATAATTCTGCCATCACTTACAGTAGTGATGTCGCGCGGGCCACTCAAGATTTGTCCTCCAAAACTGCAAACCAACTGACCATTAGTATCATAAACATTCACTTTACGACGTAACATTTTATGGTTACTCTTTAGTACCACCACTTTACCACTATCACTGACTGACAGTTTACACGGTTCTAAGTCGTCGCCCTTTGAACTGATACGAAACTTGTGATGCTGGTCAGCGGTCTTGTTAAACTTAAAAATCCAGTCTGCGTTCTCATGACTCTTTTCTTGGATCAGGGCATAAATGTTGTCATTCATGTCCGTGGCTAGCTGAACAGCCATGGTTTTAATCGATAGCTCTTTACCGCTGTCATCAATAAGAGGAGGAATTTTGAAACGTTGCACAAACTTGCCACTCTTGTCAAACACCTTGATCGTCTTGTCAAGGTCTGCTACAATATATTGCCCGCCTGAGTTGGTAGCAATACTACTCGGATTATTTAACCCGCGTTCCTCTTCGCCATCATGACCAAGATTCCATGATAAGCTACAGTTCTCCATACCTCGTTTACAAAGTATTTTTGTTACTCTCCAGTCTCGCAGCAGATTAACTTTCTCCTTTCCTGTATTAATCATGGGCCATTGTGGCAATGGTTCTTTAATGGATACTGTTTGTGTGACATCGTAGGCGACACGATTGATAAGACAGACATCGGAAATAACTTTCCGTCGTTCTTCTTTGTTAAATAATCCCTTCACTGCCCTGATTCCTTTCCTGAGCTTTTGTTGAAGACTTTGCTTAACCACTGGCAGACCGTTTAGCTCCTCAATACACACTTTACATGGTGCTACAGCATCCGCGGGATGGTCTATTGTTTCTAATACTGTTGCCATCACTCGGTACTGCATTGCCAAGATGCGGTCATGTGGTGATAGTGCTTCATTAGAAAAGGCATCTGTTGCTCTTTCACGAGCTCGTTCGAATCTCTTCTTTGCATTGGCAAGCTTTCTCATGGCAGATTCGGTAAGCTCCAAGTTTTTCATTCGTTCAGTGAGCGATACAGCTTCCGCGCAAGCTGCTTGTTCTTTATCCGCGTCATACTCACTCCTCGACCCTGTCTCTTCAAATGCTTCATAGAGCAGCTCGATTCCTTCTCTAAAGAAGCCAATACTTGCTAACAAATCTTTCCTTGATAATCCATCCAGCTTGGACTTCATGTCATCGATCTCTCGCATGATGATGCCGCGAAACTGTTGATCTGTTACGTCGCCATCTTTAAGCTTTTTTGCTGCCTCATCTCTGCCTTTATCCACAAGCCATCCAATAGTCACTTTGAAAACTGCTTTTATGATCGCAGACATAATGACAGCTTGGAACTTAGTAATCAGAAGAAATTGGGAGCTTTTTTCAGCAAATCTTCACAATAAGTAACTTCTCAAGCGTAGAATTTTCGCTAACGAAGGCTATTATTAGATGAGATTTGCATGACATTCATACCCTTTTGTTTTGAGTGACTTACTCTCTAATTGCTTTGATATTCACGTCTTTATCCGCAGTTCACCTATATGATTTTCATACATTCACAGTCATTTACTCTCTAACGGTCGGCATTATGTACCATTCGGCCACGAGACACGTGTGAGTTGCAAGTTTAGTCAGAGGAGAAGATAGATCGAAGGACTGTTGGAATATAAGAATAATAGAACGGGGAAAGAGGTATGTCATCTTCTTTATTTTTGTGTTTATATACTAAAACGTGTACAAACAAAGATAGTTTTGATTTATCTTTATACACACCCCGTGTGTACGAGTTTAGGACATTTCAATTAGTGCATATTGTATGGTAATGCTTATTTTAATTAATTGTACTTGAGTTTTTACGATCTGCTGGGGCATGTCGTCATCGAATGTAAAGATTGGCGCGAAACCGTCACATTGTGTAGTCGCTTATTGAAGAGTCTTCCGTTCGCCTTGCCGTAAAGCAGAGCCAATTCGTAACTTTTCGGTAAGTTTGTCCTCTTTTTTTCCCTGCTGATGTTATTCGTTGTCGTTCATGAAAGCTTTAATTGACATGGCAACGAGAATGAACTCTACTACGGTTTGCTGGCCTCCCGGTTTACCACAGTTTGCACGCGTCGGTTAGTCTGAATGTTTATCGTATTAAGTAGTATTATGACGTGCATTAAATGTCGATTGTCGAGCTCTCTTTTCTTTTCAGACTCGCGCTTACTTTTCAAAAAGAGTTTAACTTCAACGGCTCTCTGAACATTGCAGGAGTACGTGAGAAGTTGGATTTTCTGTGCCTTTGTGTGCAGAGTTTGACGCCATGGTAAGAAAACTGTATCCTTGATCTGTTTTGACATTTTTCAAAGTGATATCGGAATGCGTTAATTGCAAACACTATTTTTGGCACACCAATTAAAGCATTCCGATATCCCTTTCATTGGGATACGGCTACACGTAGGCTAAATCAGAGGGTGAAAGACTGAATTTCTATTTTTGGACTCAAACCCATACGCTGAATCATGATTTCAAACCAGATATCGTTATCGCTCAGCTTTGCATTTTAGGCTACAGAACATAACTAATATTTTGTTATGAATAATATGTCTCTCATGCACGTCACTGCCCTTAGCCTTCTTTGAGTGTTTTATGCATCATTAAGTAGTGCAATGCAATCAGATGATTAGAAAGTAAAAATGCAAGTCGAGTCACTCAGAGCAAAACACAATACAAATCACCTAACATTTTCAGCCGCGCGATTCTTTTTACAATAAGTTTAACCAATCAAACATGCTCTTCATAACATCAGCGAATAATTAGCAAGATAAGGAAATAAAACTGTGAGTTTTTTGTTCTGACTCGAAAAAATTAAAGGAATCTTGAATCTTGTTTGTGTTTGTCCCATGTGCGCTCGTCTATCGCGTCCTATTTAGGTTGAAAAAAATTTTCATCACTTATGGTCATGTGAGATGTTAAAATACTTCTTGACCGAGTTTGACTTGGCCGGAATTTTTTTGTTTTTTTTGTTTTGTTTTTGAGCCGACTGGCATAGTAATAGGAGAGCAACCGAATTACTTGAGGTAATGAACATTGAATAAAGATGATATGAAAATGATGAGGATGGCAACACCTTAAGAGTAGCCAAATACTCTGTAGGTAGACCTTATTGGAAGAGCAGAAAAAAGAGGAAAAATATTAACAAAAATACTTAATATGGTTTACATTTAAAAAGCTGACCACCAGAGCTAAAGAGGGAATCTTACCCAGGGTTAATGGGGAAACCTTTGCTGAGATACCTATCCACTGAAAATATTCCAGAGTGGACAATAATGCAATAAAAAAACTCTTATTGTTTTGGTAATTAATCAGCTTGAAAATGTACAGTCTATTCATATTATTATACAAGAAAAACAACAACAACAACAACAACAAAGTAACAAAGCCAAAACCTGTATTTAGACTTTGCCCTCTGGGCAATACCGAGTAAAAAGTATTAATTGGCCAAGTTTAGAACGGGGTTCTTTTACATTCCTGTACAAGGCCTCCTATTCATTAAACATGTTATTTGGAAATTTTTATCGCTCCATTTTATAGCGATCTTGAATAATTGTGAATTCTGCAATTTTACATTTGATTTCCTCCACATGTTATACATAGTTGAACACATCATTTCTATGTTTCAAACTGCATTTAGAATATATAAGCAAATTATTTTCCGTTGGTGCTTTAATTTACTGGAAGTAATTAGGGTATAATAATAAAAAGCTAAGTTTTTGCGTTTGTCTCACGATGTAATCACGTGTGATGTAGGTCGCGACGTTTCGACTGCATACTGCTAGTGTTCTTCAGGCGATGAGGTCGACTGGTCATGCGTAATCTTATAAAGCATGATGAAGAAGACTAGCAGTATGCAGTCGAAACGTCGTGATCTACATCACACGAGACTATATCGTGAGACAAACGAAAAACTTAGCTTTTATTGTTATTTACCACGATGAATAACCACAACCTTTTTAACGTAATTATGGTATGCTATTACATTTAATAAGTATATTTATATATAATGAAATAGCATATAATCTATACAACCACTACAATTTTAGATGGACTATAAAAAATATCCTGATTTTTTAGATGATAGGCTTAATTTATATTTTTTTATTGTATCAGTTCAAAATAAGTTTCTTAGTCACTCGCTTTCAGAGCACAATATGTGAATTAATAGCTTTTTGTGTGGTGTATTTTAACTACAATAGCTAGTTATAGTCTGTGTATTTTAGTGATAAAAATTCTATTACACATTACATGATTGAGATTACATGAATCATACACTGATGAAAGAGAAACGGTTTTAATAAAGTATGACATTTAATAATTTGTAACAATTGGACATCTCTTTTTTAATTATGTATGGGCCTCAAATAGGACAAGTCCCGATATCCTCAGTTTCATTGTGGGTTTGCTTCATCTAGGAAGCAATTGAATTTTGAACTAAATTATTTCGTCAATGCAATTTCAAACATTTTGTAATCATTTGCATGTGTCTTCTTCTAAGTCGCCTTTAGAAGTAGAAGTTTTGGTCAACTAAAGACAAGATTACGAGATTTAGGAGAATTCTTAAAGTCCATGAAATGGTTATTAAGGCTTGCTTTCATGTGATCTTAAATTGTTCATGGATGGTTCATAAGGAGACTTTCATTTACTCCTGAAAGCTAAACTAAAGGTTCATTTCAGAACTTTCGTACATCACTAAGAAATGACTGAAATGTTTCTAATGTTAGTCTTTAACTTACCTTTCAGGTAACTTAACTGAACTATTTTATCTTGTGTTATTAAATTAACACTGAACGTATAGCGATGTATGCAGCATTACAGAAAGTGTCACCCCTTCCAAATGGATATCACTAGCAAAATAACTTTAGGAAGACCGATAAATATTCTCGTAGCTACATGTACATCATGTGTTCTTTCTCCATCTTCTGCTCCTTATCTCATGGTTCACTTTCTCTCGCCGAAAATAAAGGGCAGCTGGTTTAACCAACTTTGACGAGCCATGCACGATTTCGTTCAAACTCTCTCAATTTTGAAAATACAACATTGCAAATACGCACATGATGAACACAAACTAACACACAACACAACAAGTCCAAAATAACTATCAAAGTGACCTTATTCTTTTCTTCCTTGGCTTTCATAATCCCAGAATTGTTTAAAGCATTACCCAAAGATGTAGTTCGATCTTTTCTCAGAGGAAACAAAAACTAGGGAATCAGATACTAAGTTCACAGATGAGTTTGTTATGTCTTGTATTTCTTGTTAGATTTTGCTGGCAATGGTGATATGAACGGGGAGGAAGAGGGTGAAGTGCCGCTTTTGTCGGAAACCCTGAAAACAACTTACAGCATTGCCCGGTCTGTATTCCACTCACTAATTTGTAACCGTCAAGGTTCCTTTTTTGTTTCAGTGCGCCTTCAGAGGCATGATTCCAGACAATCACTGATAATAATCAGCGATTGTTAATGATCACGGTTGACGAGATGAAACTTAAGAGTTGCCACCCAATTTAGCTTAATATCCCATCTGAGAAAGAGAAAAAATTGAGTCCGATACTGATAGACCCTATTTTATCAGCGTCTGATACCATCGGAGTGTATATATTTAAAATAAAGACTATGTGCAGAATGTATTCCAGACAACCGCTATTTTTAAGACTGTTTCATATATTTTTGTTTTAACATTCAACCTACGTTTCTAATGGCATAGATGCACAGGGGCTATAAAACCAATAGAAATCCTATACGTTTATAGCCTATCCTGATTTTGATGAAATTATCCCCTTCTTTCTTAAAAAGTAGCGAACGAAGCATGTAAGTACCACCATAAATTTGCTATTGAAGCTTGGAGCCTTCAATAAACGATACCACACGGATCATTTATATCCAGTGCTCCTCTACACAATCCTGACCAAGTATCCATGATACATCACGATGCTCCATATCCTGCTGTTTACGCAGCGCAATAAATCAATCAATAAACTTTATTTAACTGTCTAAAACTTCTAGTCAGCCCGGAAGCCGACTAATCGGGGACACTCGCAATAAAATTACAAATAAATTAAGTTAAGTTAAGTTAATATATATATATATATATATATATATATATATATATATACAGATATAAAATTCCATTTACATTTTAAAATACGGACTAAAATATAATAATTTCTACCTATACAACTATATACAAACTTCAAATACGTCTAAAATAAACACACTTCGGACAATTCCTGTACAGACGTAATTTGAAATAGGTTATAAGGTCTTTTGTGCGGATGTTTGAGACGAATGATGTCAGAGTTAGCATTTGTCTGTCGCTATGTCCAAGTTTTGACAAAAGTTTTGACAACAAATATGGTCCGAGATATCTTAGCTCTTTGTCGATGGTGACGCCCAGTAATTTAAGTTCTTCAGTAGTATTGATAGTGTGGCCATTGATGTCGACAGATGTTAGGGATGGCTCGTGTTTCTTGCCGATTATCATGGCTTGGTATTTGCTTATTTCCCACCACGTGATTTTCCTGGTACCATGATGACATTTGACCCCCTTCGCTCCTAATTGTGTCCATTAGGTCCTTGACATTACTATGCGCGTAATAAAGCTGATGGTCGACGGCCTACATTGATAGAATTGACGCACGACTCAGGTAAAAGAGATCATTCTGGCAGATATTCCAGAGTAACGGGCCCAAATTGGATTCTTGGGGACAGCCCATTTTTATTTCTTTCCATTCACTAACCGCAGTTCCTAATTTAGTTCTTCCTTTAAGTTCTTCAAAGAATGAGTGCATCAGTGATAAGGCCCCTTCCGAGGAGCCGTCAGGCTTTAGTTTAACCAGCAGCAAGGTGAGATGCATCGTATCAAAGGTGGTCTGACAGCTGTACATTTTACGGTAGGCTGACATGAATAGGTCAAAAATCGTTTCAAGATTTTTTGGCATCTGTTTACTTTGAAGCTGCTCAAATATTTTGTCAACCACTGTTAATACAATTAGAGGTCTATAGTTGGTCTTCTCCAGGGGGTCCTCTTTCTTGAAAACTGGATCCATTCTCCCTTTTTCTAGATATTTGGCGATGTCTTCTCTGTGATACATTGATTAAAAATTGTTGTCAGTGGGTCTGCAAGTTCTTGTGCCGCTATTTTCAAAGCGTGTGACGGTATCATGTTAAAACCAATGGCTTTGTTGGTATTCAAATTCTTGAGACTTAAAAAAGTTTCCTCTTTCGTGATTTTCCTGAAGATAAGAAGTTAGAGTTCCATCTACTGCGTATGGCGGGGACGCTTGGGTGTCTATCGCATTCTTCTGTTGTGAGATTCATTGCAGGGCCGTTATCAAAACTGCTTTCACCTACAGTGGAAAAACAGTCAGCAAATTGCTCGGCTACTGATCGTTGATCTTGTAATAGAGTTCCCTGGATGTTGAGTGTGATATCCGTTTTATCTTTGACCTTTTTGTTGTTGAGAAAAGGCGTGAAAGTCCTGTAGAACGTCCGTACGTCATGCAGCAAGTCAACTTTCTCCTCTCCTGTATCAACCGTGAGCTATTCTAGGAGCAGTAAACTCCTACTGGATATAGATTGTGTGACACTGTAGGCGAAACGATTGACGGGACAGACACCGGAAATTATTTTCTTTGTTCTTCATTACCGGTTAAACAAACCCCTTAATTTCTTGTCTTGAGCTGTACTTTAAACCTTTCCTGAACCACTGACAGACCGCGTTTAGCTCTAAAATACACATTTTACTAGGTACTACAGCATCCGCGGGACTGCCTGATGTCTTTAGTACTGTAACCATCACTCGGTTCAGCATTTCTAAGATGCGGTCAGATGTTGATAGTGCTTTCGTTCTACATAGCGCGACAACTGTGCCATGTGACCCCTCTTAGTTAAACAAGTTGTCTCAGAACACAAGCATAAACATTTACTCACGAAACTATAAAAAATATCATAACACCAATGAATTTAAATTTTTCGACACGATAAATAACTAAAGCGGAGCAGTGAAAAGGCCAGGACAAAACCAGTTCTAAATCCTGAACATATCCAAAAAATGAGAACAGTCCATCAGAGGCTATGAATAACACAAGGAAAATAAACAGCTTTACACTTCAGCAATTACAAACTTGATCTATGAGATAACCCTCTTGATAAAGATGCATTACGTAAATTACGGCAATTTTTAAGAATATTGGATAAGTTTGTCCTAACGTTCAACTTATATTTCTCATAACAGAAAGATGCACAGGGCCATGAAATTTTCGAAGACTATCAGTTAGCTCAGTTAAATTTATCCTTCGTCTCTAGTACAAAGCTTCATTCTGCCGAAGGGCTAACACTCGAAACGTCAGCTTTGAAACTCTTTACGGCGGCCGATTTACGATATCAACTCGGTTGATCATACCAAATTACCTTCTCGCACAAAGCAGCGAACTAAGCATGTCACTGAATTTCTTCGAGGTCTCAAAGAAAGTACTTGGGGTATAAAGGGAGGGAATAGCGATATTCTTCCAATTCTACTAGTTACCCCGTTTGCCAGTATCCTCCTTGTGAGAAACTGGTTATTACAACTCAACTACCCTCATCAGCCTGAATTTAGGCGGATAAACAATGATTACTGAAACCTGAGGTCATCGAACACGTACGCAACCAAACCACTCCTATTCTGGCAGATATCAGAAGAAATTGGAAAAGTACCTTTAAAAAGTTCAACATGTTTTTGGACCGGTAGGAAAAAAATAAAACAAAATAACAAATATAAAAACAAGAATAATGAAATGTGCAGAACGGCCGTGGGTACGAAAGCTCTGGGAATTTTTCATTCCCCAATTGTTGTTGTATTTCTCTAAATATTAAAAAATTTTCGTTTCTGATGAGAGAATTTCGATTCAGCTGCCACAGGGGTAGTTACTGTGTATGACTCTCAGAAATCACATTTGTAGGAATCCTCGCTTAAAATGAAGTTTTAAAAGGTTTTAAGATCCTCTGAATTTAACATGTAACTTCCGGTGAAAAATGTTTGCCGTCGTTTTTTAGCCAATATTGATCTTGTATGACAGACAGCGAAAACTTTTTTACACAACAATCAAAGCATTTTGGTAGAAAATATTTTGAGCCGGGGCTTATAGATTGTGATGACGATGTCCTTTAGTAATATCTAAATTACAATTGTTCCTTGCGAGTTACATGAAAAAAATCAGCTGGCACCTATTGCTTTGAAATATGTACAAACGGTAAAAACGAGAAAAAACGGAATAATTAGATTTAGATTATCATAACACGTGTAGAAACCTTTACTTTAATGAGATGGTCGCACCGTGTAAGTTCTAAACGTCGTAAAAATGTTTGCAAATAAATTTTGATTGCAACATTTTTTATTACGTAAATGAATTAAGAAACTGGTAGGTTAATGTTTAGTGTTCGTTTATTTTCTAGAGTGTAATCACCAGTTGTTTGATTGGACATCACCAGCCTGGTTTGAGCACTAAGGGCACAATTAACACGTCATGTCTGTATAAGTGGACAGCAGGCGTCAAAGTCACGCGCTGTTGTCCCGCATATCGCGGAGTTAATTGTTTATGAAAACGCATAATCGATGTCTCGTCTGACCAAGTTTCCATCTCGAATTTTGTCATAGTTTTGATTAGTTGGTAACAGGACTTCGTGTCGTCCAATACTGTCTGTAATCCTACTAACTGGGTAATGCGCCGATCAATTCGAGGCTTCAACATCCCCCGCCCCCGCGCTGAGCATTTGACTGTCGTCCGTACCGGGGTGGTGTGAAGAGCTTAAACCAGAGCCGTAAAGTCTTTCCAGCGGAATAAACGTGGTTTATCTTTTGATATGGAGGTTTTTAAACATACGATACTGATAAAAGGAAGATCAGATCCAGCATTTGGGTGAGGAATTTAAACACAATTTTGGCCTCAGGAGGCGGGAATTTGAGCGAACCAATCTTGAAAAGTTCAAATGCATGGGGGCTGCTCGTTGCATTTGACGCTTCGAGTTGATCGACGCATGTACGTTTGACTGATTGATTTTCGGACAAGAATAAACCCGTTGGTAACATATTAGCGGGCTATGTCAAACAAGGCTATCTGAGTAAAAGTTTCGTAAACTCGTCTTCTTGCGTTTAAGATTATTTTGAACTTAAGTAACTCAGAGTGGTTTCTTTACATTCATTCAAAGCAGAGTCGCGAGCTCTTTGCATTCCGTTACTTGCGGAATGGTTTCTACTCACATGTACACCTGGCCGATTATTCTTTTGGCGCTTCCGTCGCTTTTTATCTCAGTCAGTCGCAGTCATGGTAAGTAGTAAGCCTAAAAAAGCAAGCAGAGAAGCTTTTCACAGAAGCTGAAATAGGACACCGGTGTTATGCAAAAGTGAAACAATCATTCTCTAAAAAACGTTTCTCAACGACTCTATTTGGCAGGTCGGATTAGATAAACGTTTATATATTCTTTTACGACCTGTGTTTGTTTTTCGAGTTGAAATTTGAGTGAAGCCTTTTTTCTTCGAGGGATCCATCCAAGTAAAGTAGGTTGAAGAGTTAAGATGAATCAGACTAACATTTTTTCTCGGATTGAGCTCGGTTGTATTACTCGGTTTGGCCGATTGCTTATCGATTTGGAAAGGTGAACCCGATGTTCGTGGAGGCTTTGTGAAGAAGGAGCGAAAATGGTGGCAAATATCGATAGCTTAAATGAAACAAACTTTAGCAATCCATGCCAGCTGGTGCTGGATCGTACATCGATGTAAGTGAGTTAGTTGTTGAGGTAATGAAAATATCTGGAATCGCTGAATATCGGAGCCGCAATTAGGAAAGGTGTTTGCGTGGTAAACTGTATGTTCACTCTCAGTTTTTTGTTATTTACGGTTCGGTAAAAGCCAAGTTTTTTTTGTTTGTCTCACGATGTAGTCACGTGTGATGTACATCGCGACGTTTCGACTGCGTATACTGCTAATCTTCTTCAGTCTTCATCGCCTGAAGAAGACTAGCAGTATGCAGTCGAAACGTCGCGATCTACATCACACGTGACTACATCGTCAGACAAACGCAAAAACTTAGCTTTTATTGTTATTTACCAAGATGAATAACCACAGCCTTTTTTACGGTACGGTATTGACAAACGCGTTATGCATCTGATTTTAAAGCTCATGGTGCCCGAATGATATGGAATCGAAATGTTGTATGTAGGTGGCATGTATAAAATTGACTTTGTGGCTGTGACTTGTGGAAAGATCGTATTTCTCTTGACTTTTGGAAGCGTATCCTGTAGTAACAAGTCCATGTGCTTTCTAAGATGCGATTTGAACTACGTTATGTTCGATAATTTGGTTTCTTCGAGTTCGTTTTGGATGAAAGTGAATTATTAACAAACTTTATGATTTAGTTTAATGCATGTATTGTAATTTTTGATCTCTCCTGGTCAGACAAGTTACAGAGCCAAATAATTATATTATATTATACAATAAGAAAAAAAAATACAATTTTAGTTGAAATAGAATTTGCCCAAGAAATGTTCAGTATCCAAGTAATGATGATAATAATTATTATCCATGGATATTATAAGTAGAAGTTACATGTTAAACTCTTCTAGGGGTTAAGGGGTTAAAATTACAGGTGGTACAACTAAACGTTAAAGCTGTCTGCTACATATATAACTATGGTTTATACAGTTTTGAACATGTTGATCTGGAAAGTAACCTGAGTTACAATTGGAATTGGTGATGTTTAATACTGCAGAATGCAGACAATACAAAATCCACTTCAAACAAGTTTTCAAAATAACTTCTGATTATAGGCTCGTTCCTATTATTTATAACATTATTGTGCTTGAGAAGGAAATTTTTCACTTTTTGTCGCCTATTTGATCAGATTCATTTCCAAATATAAAACACAAGGCTTGTGTATGGAAGAAATTTCTCCTTCTCTTACATTTTCCATTGCAGCCATATGAAAAATTGTTCTCACAAACTAAGAATGCCATTTTAAACTTTAAGGTGCCAAAGGCACTATCAATCAATTCTTAATACAAAAATGCAATGATTGTTTAGGTTTGATTTAATCTTGCCAAAAAACAGTTAACCCACAACACACCTTGACATGCATGCTTAAAACAATAGGCCATTTTACAATTATGCACTTAGCCACAAAGACTTTGATTTGGAGTGAAGCTGAAGGTGACCTTGTTATGATAGAGACCAGTATCTAGTTTGCATGATAACCAAGTAATTTACAATACAATACAATAAAATACACTTTATGATTACGGCTCCCCTACATGTATATGAGGGTATTCTGTTGTAATACAATAATATTTATATAATAATTTACAATGGGTCAGAGAATATTTACATGTGTTGCAAAGAAAAAAGACCAAAAAAAATTTTAAAATAATAGTACAAGAAAAAAAATAATAATGATAATTAATATAATTTCGTATAAAGGTGTAAAAGGGTTGAAAGATCCATTTAAGAAGAGTTTCAGATAAAATGGGCCACTTTCCTTTTAAGATCTAAAATATCATTTGTGCTTTGAATTCACATTTGAAAAGCAGCAAGGTTTGTATCATAACAAGGTCACCCTTAGCCTTACTCCTATTCAAAGGCTTGGCAACCAAGCACACAACTGTAAAATGGACTATTGTTATAAACACATCTACCCCTGCCACTGAAGTCAAGAAGTACATTTCTAGAGCAACAGCTACAATTCTAGGCAGAGCTATGAATAATTTTATTCCTCCCATATTCCTATTAATATGTCTTTAATCATTTATTTTTGTTATGTAAAGAATGTTCAAGTGCTCTTGGTATGGAGAGTGGCCACATCAAAGATGCTCAAATCACTGCATCTTCACAATGGGATAGAAATCATGCGGCAATCCAGGGAAGATTGAACTTTAAGGCTGGTGGAGGTAAACAAGGAGGATGGTTAGCTCGGTGGAGTAATGGAAATCAATGGATCCAGGTGGTTCTTGGCAGTTACACCAAATTGACAAGTATAGCAACACAGGGAAGGAATGCTTACAGCCAGTGGGTAACGGCATACAAGCTGCAGTATAGTGAAGATGGAGTGAACTTCTACTTCTATAAAGTACCAGGACAGAGTTCACCTAAGGTACATAAATTACCATGTGTCAGATATTGAAAGCTTTTTGGGTATATCTCAAGTCAACCTGTAGAAAATGAACCTTTAAGTGGACAAAAATCTGTTGATACTCATGTTGCATCATTGTTTGAATTGAATAATAATTATATTGACAACTAAGTTAAGGAGAAATGTTGGCATGTTGGTGATTATGCTTTGCATTTCTAAGAATTGCTTTGTTCAACCCTTAAACTCCCAGAAGTGATTCCCATGTAACTTCTCCCAAAAATATCCATCCACTATCCAGCAAACAGGTAATGAGAATACTCAAATATATCATGTAGAAGTTGTTATCTTGGTATAATACCAGATTCTTGCAACTAAGTTACAAGGAAATGTGTAGCAGTGAGATGTGAGAATTGACAACCAGATCATGGGAGTTAAAGGGTTATTTACATGTAATAAGCAATTAATACTCGACTACACAGAATAATGCCAATGATGTTAATTTGTTATGGGAATCACTTATCTTACTAGATTTTGTATGTTGATCATTTAAGGTTTTTAAAGGAAATAAAGACAGGGATAGTATTGTGTATCATAAAATAAGCCCACCAATCCAAGCGCGTTATATCAGACTCAGACCCACAGCATGGTATAGTTATATATCACTCAGGATGGAGCTGTATGGTTGTCCAGGTATGGTAACTGTTACTCTGAGTCATTAATCAACATTAACTTATGCTTGGAGTACCTGCTCATCCATGTATATTGTCAATTGACAAACAGTTCTTTTAGTTATTTTCAAATATTTAAAGATATTGGGCTAACACATTAACATCATCTAGGGATTGCAATTGGGTGCAAGAGAGAACTTCTAATTTTGGGGGATTTTGTAGACGGAATTATAGGGTAAGGATGTTGATGTGTGGTTGATTGACAAAAGATGTACAGAATTAAGGAAATGTTTTTGAAGGACCAAACATTTGGTACTTGTAAATAAGCACTTGGTAGCAAACATTTTATTTTCCATATCATGCGGTAAATTGTGTTGCTCACATTACATGATGAAAGTCATTTTGTAGGGATAACATGACAATATATTTTACTTGAGATGTTTCTTATCTTGTAGGTTCAAGTTAGTTAAGGACTTAAGTATTTCACACCAATTTTACAGTATTCACAAAAGCCAAAAATTTATATTAAAACCAAACAGTTTGAGGTTCAATTTTCGCAGCTATTCCATGCTAATTTGCTCAAGAACAAGTTTCAACTGGTTACTTTGACACGAAAGCAACCATGTTTTCCAAACTTTTTCTAAGTTGATTTACTAAAAGCATTATAATTTGCCAAACTGTCTGTCCTATGGAATGCCCCAATCACAAAGTTTTTATTTCACTTCATTAATTGTTTACAAAAACACCTGTCTATTCCAGTAAAGGAAAATGCAATTAGAAGTAAGTCACTGGTTCCCAGGATGGTGCAAGTTATGCTAAGACATCTGATTGTTTTTGTGACTTCTTGATGAGCTATACTTATGAAATTCATGGGATTTCTCATTTAGATTTGAAGTTAACGACCCTGAGAGCAATCTGGGAATTTTCCATAGATCTCATCCATCACATAGGATAGTGTACCTGCATGCTTTAAAAGGAGTAAATTCTTCAATTACTATTTTGTAAGATTTTGCAGATTTTGAGAACTGTTTGCTATAATTATTGTGTGAGTGTGAATTGTGTGGTTTTGCATCTGCAGTTATCTGATAAGAAGTCTTGTTACAGTAACTATATCTACACAAGAACCGATGTATTGCAAAATGTCAAGCCAACAAATTGCATATTTTGCATGACTTTAAAATAAAACTGCTCTTTCACTTTCTTTATTTATGTAAAGTATGTTCAAGTGCTCTTGGTATGGAGAGTCGCCACATCAAAGATGCTCAAATCACTGCATCTTCACAATGGGATAGAAATCATGCGGCAATCCAGGGAAGATTGAACTTTAAGGCTGGTGGAGGTAAACAGGGAGGATGGTCAGCTCGCTCGAATAATGGAAATCAATGGATACAGGTGGCTCTTGGCAGATACACCAAAGTAACAAGTATAGCAACACAGGGAAGGAATGCTTACAGCCAGTGGGTAACGGCATACAAGCTGCAGTACAGTGAAGATGGAGTGAACTTCTACTACTATAAAGTACCAGGACAGAGTTCACCTAAGGTTAATGTAGAGGCAGTTACTTGGTTTAAAACTGTTAAAAATATATTCTTATGGCTGCACAGTATACAGGTAACAGTTAATATATATGTTGCAAGTAGTCCTATTAAGTTATCTGCAATGACCAAGGGGCTTATAAGCCCCTGATCATGCAGTCTACCATGGAAAAGGTTAATTATGCCACATATCTAGCCTGGCATTCAAAATTGGTGTTTCATGACTTTCTCTTGCATATTTACAACAAGTACAATAAACACGTTACAATTTTAAATGTTAGTTGATATTATTGGAGAATCATGCATAATCCAACAGGAATGGCATGACTGTGGTAGCTGACTACTAATTTTGCTTGCATGTATTTGTAGGTATTCAAAGGAAATAAAGACAGAGACAGCATTGTCTATCACCAGTTAAACCCACCCATCAAAGCTCGCTACATCAAACTTCGACCAACATCGTGGTATGGTCATATATCGCTAAGAATGGAGCTGTATGGTTGCACAGTAGGTATGATTATTATCTTACATCAACTTATTTGGCACTGAAAATTGGAAGGGTGAAACACGTGTTTTGATAATAACCAGCATAATGCTGAAATATGGATATGCCAAGAAACTCTAGATTGTTAGATGCTACACTATGACATAGGTAGAAAATTTCTGCTTAATCAAATTTTGTCTAACTTTTAACTTTTCAATAGAACTGGACGTACCTACCCACAAACAAACTTCACACCTCTGTACATAAACACGCACTCATGAATTGTTCTTTTACCTTCTTTATTTCTGTAAAGAATGTTCGACACCTCTTGGTTTGGAGAGTCGACGCATTAAAGATGCTCAAGTCACTGCATCTTCGCAATGGGATGGAAATCATGCAGCAATCCAGGGAAGATTGAACTTTAAGGCTGGTGGAGGCAAGCAAGGAGGATGGTCAGCTCGGCAGAACAATAAAAATCAATGGATACAGGTGGCTCTTGGCAGCTACACCAAATTAACAAGTATAGCAACACAGGGAAGGAATGCTTACAGCCAGTGGGTAACAGCATACAAGCTGCAGTACAGTGAAGATGGAGTGAACTTCTACTTCTATAAAGTACCAGGACAGAGTTCACCTAAGGTAAATGTAGTATCAGTTAATTGGCTTTCAACTGTAAAAATATATGCCTATAGTTGCACGGTATAACAGTTATAACATGTTGCAAATAGTCCTATAAGTTATGTGCAAATACCAAGGGGCTAAGTGCCTGATCATGCAGTCTACAATGGAAGAGGTTCATTATCTAGCCTGCATGGCATTGCGACAAAATTGGTGTTTCTTGACTTTCTCTTGCATATTTACAACAAGTGCAATAAACACGTTACAATTTTAAATGTTTGTTGAATCTATTGGAGAATCATGCATAATCCAACAGGAATGGCGAGACTGTGGCAACTGATTATTAATTTTACTTGCTTGTATTTGTAGGTATTCAAAGGAAATAAAGACAGGGACAGCATTGTTTATCACCAGTTAAACCCACCCATCAAAGCTCGCTACATTAAACTCCGACCAACATCATGGTATGGTCATATATCACTAAGAATGGAGTTGTATGGTTGCTCAGCAGGTATGATTGTTGTCTTACACTTGTTTTGGCACTGAAAATTGGAAGGGTGAAACGTACATGTTTTGATTACCAGTGTAATGCGGAAATGTGGATTCTGGAGGAAACACTAAATTGTAAAATTTTAGAACTTTTTTTTTGTTATTTAATGTTGCTATTAAGCTTTAGTGGAGATTCCAGAATGTCTTCCTTTTGAGGCGGGTCAGTCTGTCCTGGGCTGGCAGCAACATGGTGCAGGAAATTTATTATGGGATGAGAAAAGCCTTTAGTTTTACCACCCGCTGGTTCTTTTCCCTCAAGTTCAAGGACTTTAATGTTGCCAAAAAGTTTTCCGAGGAGTTGGAGTTCTAAGGCAGGCATTACTATGGCATGTACCCTATGGAGAATTTGGTCAGCAAGAATGCCTTGCAAGCACGCCCACTCTGTCGGTTAAAGAAAAGCTACCTCAGGCTTTACCCCAAAAGGGCAGGGTCTCAACAAAGGCATTGATCTGTCTTACAGCGAAGTACCGGGCTCAGATGGCATTCCTGTGGAGGTTTTACCGTAAGCGAAATCAGCGCTCTCTTTCCACCTGCTCCTACGCCGGTGCTAGGAGTGGGTATGAGTATGGGCTGGGCTGGGTTGCTTAACCTTGCACGCACAAGAACCGAAATCAAAGTGTAGTGAGTCGTGGGCCGGGTTGTTTAAAGCTGGGTTAAGATAACCCAGGGTTAGTTTGAAATCTGATTTGAAATCTGAAAGCTTTAAAAGAAAATTCATTATAATGTTATTTGTGTACAATTTTAAGATAGGATGCCCTAAAAAGAACAGAGAAAATTATCCAAAAGGGCATTTGAACAAAGTAATAAAGATACTTAGATTAAAATTGAGCCCTGGCGGGTTTCGTGCTAATCGGCCTTGGGACAGCTGGGCTCTAATCTATGAGATTCTATTGTCTGGTGGTGCCGCTTCGATGTCCCACATTTAGGTGGGCCTTTAGTTTCCATCATTTCCATTACTCCCGCGTTTTGACTTTTTCTACGAATAAAATTCGCCTTTAGCTACCTTGAACTTAACCCAGTCGCTTGTTAATTCCTTTTAAAACAACCTGCATTTTATTACTTATTTTCCACACGCAGGGCAAAGTCTAGATGGGCAACAACTAATCAAGGAGCCCTCTTTGAAATATTATCGTTTTCTCTTGTTCAGTGTATCTTCACTTATTCGAGATCGCAATATATCTTTGGTTATGGTCTAGTAGAGGTACAACAGAGTTTCAATTTGCTTTTCGTAGTAAAATTACGCGGAATTTTTTTTTAGGCAACTTATTATAGACGAATAATTTTGATTTTCTCTATGTTCGAGGGACGGCGGTAAGCGTTTCTTTTGCAACCGTTATTTGGTCTCGTCACGCAACGCACTCTCTCTCCAACGGAAAATGGAGGGCGTTGGCTGACGAGACTTAACAACAGCGGCGAAGTAGACAACAGTAAGCGTGGCACCGATTTCATTTTTACTTAGAAATATTTAGGTAATAGACCACAAAATAAATTTGTGAGTTCAGATAAATTAGGTTTTTTCTGTCTTTCTCTTAAGGTGAAGTGATGCGATATTTTCGTTCTTTTGAAAGTTATGCTCTTTTCAGTTACAAAACTGAAAACAATAAGTATGCAAACTGTCGCCTCTCAACCCACACAGCAAAAAAATTAACTTTTGCCTATGTTCTAATTTGTGTCAACTTACTTGTTTCGAATCAGTTATTTCAGTTTTTTTTTGGTTTATACATATTTCCAATCGAGATTGTATGTACCATCCGATTCTAAAATTTTGTATGTTTATACTACTATACTTGTATATTTTCACTAAAAGCTCCTGGAGTAAATGTCCTCTGCGGCGATAAAACCATTACCATTGTCATCCCAAAGACCCTCCTCCGTGGTCTTGATTTAAAGAATATTCGACTCCTGGACACCAAATGTAAAGGCAAAGAAGGACGGACCCACCTTAGCGTTACAACATCATTGACGGGCTGTAAAACTGCCAGGAGGTATACACCTACAGCTATCATCTACTCCAACATACTGAAAATACCCGTGGCCGCTAAAAGTGCCGTAACACGCGTACGTGACATAAAAGTGCAGTTCAGCTGCTATTACTCAGCGCATGGTATAGTTTCATCGCTTGGTTGGACGCCAATTAAAACAACACTTGAGCTCCGAGAAAAGGCCAAAGGGAACTTGACACTGTCGTTGAGAATGTTTCACAACAAGGCATTTGTGAATCCTTACACGAAAGTTGATTTCCCTGTTGCTGTGGAGCTGCATAGACGATTGTACTTTGAGGTATCCGTGGCAACAGATGACAAAAAGCTGTCAGTCAGGGCTGATCGATGTTATGCCACGCCCACCCAGGATCAAAAGAATTCTCTGAAATATGAGTTTATAAAGAAAGGGTATGTTTAGTGATAAATGTTTTGGACACTTAATTTCTACTCCTTTTGAAAAATTACTCTTGGTTTATTTTTGCGGTTACTTGAGACATTTTCCTAAGCAACTAATAGTTAGTTACAAGTTAGTAAAATTGGATACACTTCGCAATCTTGAATTCCATGATGATCAACATAAGTTAAAAAAAAAAAACTTTTGTTAAGGATATTCTTAGGCATAATTTCACCTTGATCAAGGAAATTTGCTTTACTTTAGCTGCCCAAGTGACGTAACGGTGAAATATCATTCATCGCCTTCTTCTCGTGCTCAGCGGTTCAGCGTGGAAGCCTTTAAGTTCATTGCTGCTCATCCCTTTGTTTTCGTCCACTGCCAAGTGACTGTATGCAATGCAACCAACCCAGGCTCCAAATGCTCGATGAAATGTCCTTCAAGTGGCCGAGGGAAACGTGAGCTGAGTGATAACGTGACTTACGACGTGTACTCTTTAGTGCAGGGACCCCTGCACCTGACGCACGAGAAAAGAAAGGAGAACCGCGGGAGAATTCTGGATAAGACTGGTACGTCGATGAGCTGTTTCCGGGGACACATATTAGGGATGCATCCTGAGGATAAATTCTATCCCCGGCCCCCAGTACCCCATGGATCCCTCTTGAAAGGCCCCTCAAGATTTTTGAGTTGTGAAAAATATCTCTGATAACTTTCCCCATTCCCAAAATGATTCACCCTTCTTTGTTTGTATATTTTTTTCCCAACCTAATTACAAACGTATTGTTACGACATCTTAAACCAGCATGGTACAGTATGACGCTTCGCAAGTGAGGATTTTTCAACTTTGCAGTGAAATTTCTTTTGAATTAAGTCTATATTCCCCCTTTTCTGTGACGTCCCTAGGTTCCAGTCCTCACATTCCGGAGGCTCTGTCCGCTGACAATCATCACAAGTAGCTTCAAACTCATTTACACTTGGACTTGACCTGGACTTGAACCACTGAAGGATGTTTGAGCTGGATATTCGTGTAAAGGGTGTTTCACAAGTTCGTGCCCATTTTTCTAAAAGGCTATATCTTACTTATTTTTGCATTCTGGAAGCCGTATCTTTAAAAAAAAATTACCTAATTTTGCATTCTGGAACCAAGTTTTATTTAAAACAAAAGTTGAAGGGAAAAAAACATATTTAAAATTTTTTTCCGGCATCACAGAAATAATTTCTGTGGTGGCGAACCGACCATAAAAAGCACTCACTTTTCACGTAATTGTTTTTTTTCTTTTTCGTAATTTTTCATCGCTATCGACCCGAACAAATATTTTTTTTTTTTTTTTTAATTTTTATTATTATTATTATTATTATTATTATTATTATGATTAAATTATTATTTTATTATTTCAAGGTAGTTAAAAATCGTATTAATCCTTAAAATCCTGTTATCTCTTCTACTTCTCCAGCTCAAGCATACCTCTTATTTTTAGACGCTGAATAATCTCAAAACTGACGAAAAAAAAAATATGCGGAAACAACAACAACAAACAAAAATTGTAACTTACAAATAGTTTTGATATTTAAGTTCGGCTCTTAAGATTACTCACTGATCTAACTCAAACAGGACTGTCGAAAAGATTTGATTTATGTAAGGGTGCCTGCGCCTATATTTTTCTCATTTTGTAGTACGGAATGACAGAACTGGCTCTTCAATCAGCTGTTAGTCGAAAAGGGATTGTTACTGAAGGGATTTTAAACCTGTCTTTAGAGGAGCTAAGATGGTTTGAATACTTTTCTGAATAACCACTGAATGCTAGTTTGTCGAGTTATAGAAAAACTCAGCAGCACTTTTCTAGGAAATGAAGATGGTTTAGGATTGGCCATCCTTAGAAGCATTGCAGGTGATCGAGTTAAGAATTAATAGAATGACATCTTACTAATGAGCCAGCAGCTTTAAACGTTAATGATGCTGCATATAGTACTGTGATGGGACGGCAAGCAGAAGGTTACTGAACGCGAAGAATTAGAACTTTCCTATTAAGGCGCTAGCACAAGAAAATAATCCAAGATTGATTGAAGCTTCTGTTTTTGCCAGTCTTTGAAAATTGAAGAATAACTGCATTAAGCTTTTGAAGTACAGGATATTGAATCGAGGTTTTAAGTTTTACGGTAGTGATGAAGAGTTAATAAGGAACATCAGCCGGTTGACAGAGCCTTTTTCTCAAGTTTAGTATTTTATTTTAAAGAAATGGTGAAGGGAAATGATGTGGGTATTAACTTACACATAAAAAACAGACATAGTGCTTTCACATACACGAGTGATTGGATGTTACGAGAGCATAAGGTTGACCATAATGGATAAGATGTTTTCATCCCGGAAATTCTCTGCTCAAGATATTTCTGTTGTGGTGTTCAGTTAATACTTAGGTATCCTGCTGGGGAGCTGTTGCTTGAAAGTAAAATAAATTGAAGAAACAGAATTTTGCCCTCATTTATTAGATCACATTCAAGACGTAAAATGACTCGTTGAGCCTTTGGAAAAAAAAAAGCGGGAAAGGTTGAATCATTACCTTCGTCATTGTCGTTATCATTTGTAAATCATTTGAGCTTTTCTCGTAATTGGGATATATTTCTTAACATACAATAGAGATGTTATCTCGCCAGCTTTAGGTTCAGCAATCATCAGCCTCATTTCCTTGTTTACCTACCCACTTAGTTTTCCACTTAGTTAAGGAGTCTCCAACGTTGCCCAAATCAGAGTGGCAGTCAAGTATTTGCACAACGTATTCGTAATGTTATAAGTGATCCTTGGGAGAGATTTGTCATCTACTTTTTCCCTTCCTTGTGGACTTTTAAAGTCATCGAAATCGTTCACTAGGCTTTGTATCGTGATAGCACGGTGCCGTTCATAGCTGAAAGATGTTTTGTGACGTGTCTTTAAATTTTGAGCTGTTCAAAAACTGCAAATTATGGAAAGATTGTCAAAACGGACTTACAGTTAAAACCTACTATTTTAGCGTACGTCTCTTAAATTGTTGATAAGTCAGGTAACTTTCGAAACACTGCGAATTGCAGAACGTGATCAAACTGTAGTTTTGAGTACTCCATTTCAGTCTAATTTTCTTTCACCCAAGATCCTGTGAGCCATTTGTGGGAAATAACGCCGGGGTGTTGGTTGGACGCCTTCGCTTCGCTCACTGCTCACGCTTTAAATGGGAAATAAATGTTAGCTCCTTATCAATTGTTCCCGAAATGCATCATCAAAAGTGTTTTCATTTAATCGTTTACCCGTTTCGTAATTATTTGGTTTACTGACAATCCCACTCCTTGCAATTGAAAACTTTATTCTACGGCCCCCCCCTTATAGGCATTCACGCTAAATGGAACTTTGTTTACATTTCCATTTGTAACCTACATTTTATTCACTTGTGACTTTGTAAGATTCTTGCTCTTCCTATCATCTTTACCTCTTTCCCTTTATCAAAGGTGGTACTTGCCACCCACGATAGATTGCCGGTATCTGATGAAAAGTCAGACCAACGGGATTCGAAGCCGTTTATCCTAACAAATTCTTGTTCCTCGCATTTTTTGAGAAAACTCGGCGGCGTTCTCTGAAATCGTTCTCTGCAATCAGAACGACCTCGCACACGCGTTAGAAGAATAAAAATCTTTTGTCTACTTATAATGATCTCGTAGCCATATCGCTTGTCATGCATACATTCCTAAAATAGTACAAAGATTTTAATGTGAGTTTGTTGACCGCCTCTACACGATTAAGAGCTTCTTCTAAAGGAAATTCTGTCTTATCCGAAGGAAACACGGATCGTTGATTAAGTGATGGAGAAACTTAGCAGAAAAGGAGTTATATTGAAATCTCAAAAATGTCCATGAGAATTCATCCCCACGATTTTTCTTCGCAAAAGGAGGATAGGAGGATATGGAGTTAACCTCAATTTGAAGAACCTAAGTAAATTTATTAGTAACCATCATTTCAAAAATAGAACAGAAGAATATAGCGTCATCCATAATTTGAAGAACTTGAATCCATGTATCAGTAAACAATCATTTCAAATTAGAAAGCTTGACTTCAGCGGTCTGTCTTATGACACGTGGGTGTTACACGACATCTGAAGATTTACGAGATTCCTCTTACTCTGTCCCAGTTGACAAGAACTGCGGAAAATATTTAAAGTTCTCTTGGAAGGGGGATTGTTTTAGTTTACCTGTCTTCCCAACGGTCTGGAATCTGCTCTACGACTTTTTCGCCAAACTGCTTAACCTTTCATATTAGTATGAAAATTCTCCTCACTGTTCTTTACATATTTCCCAATGTACTGACAAGGAGAATTTGTTTGCTAATCAAAAGATTCCTTCCCTGGAGACCATTTCCTTTATTCTCAAGACCTTAATGTGTGATTCAGGGCTGATACCGTAAAGAGAAATTAGATGCTAGTCACTCTAAGGGTATAAAGGTCTAAACCTGTTTATAAGACTGAGGAGGGAAAGAAATTTGTACCAAGGGGGCGGTCGATGGTCAAAAATAAGAAGGGGTAGGGGTGGAGGAGTGAAGATTTCCCCGCCCCCCTCCCTGCATCAAACAAAACATGGCCAGTTGAATAAACGATCGCGAGCTAGTTAACGTTAACTCGCCCTCATAAGACGCCTGCAGTAAAGGCTACCCCTATTCTGCATTAGTGATAGAACTGTTGAGATCAACCGTGGGGGTTCATCTTCCTTTGATTTCTCACTTAAAGCCTCATTGCAAAAACAGTGGTCTTCGTCTCAGTCTTTCGTTTATATTATGTCCACGTGAGTGCACAATTCCTTCAAACTAATGATCTCGTCATAAATGTGACCCTCCACGGGAAAACAGAGAATAAGGTAAACGCAAGGCAGCGAGAAAAATGACACGCCGGCTTCGGAGCGGAGCCGGTATCATCTGCACAACGATTAAAATTTTCTTTTGTTCGAATCGCACGATAAAAACAAACGCGCGTATTACATGGAACAAAGAAGGGTGTCGAGCTCGGCACTGAATAAAACAGCAGGCTGGCGAGTGAAATAGTACGCCGTTTAAGCGAGTAAAGTGACGCAATAGCCGTGTCTAAAATTTTCGTAAGCAGCGTTTGCGTGCAACCCTGCATGCGTGTCTATCTCTTATTTTTACCAAACTGCAACTTCAGCGTGGTAAGTATGGTCTATGTGGGATGAACGAATTTAAGAGACCATCGTTTGGTCAATAAGATATGTTTTCCGTGTGACGATTGCTAGGCTGGTCGTTCTAGTCAGGAAGGATCAAGAGACAACAAGTCCTTTTTCCAGTCTTCTTGATTCTCTTCAAATAAAATCATCAAAGCTTTGTTTTGCTCATTCTGCTTTTTCTAAAAAAGAAATATCGGTAAGCGCCCTGTCCTTGATAAGCGCCCTGTCCCTAATTACCGCCTTGCCTACCAAAAGTAAATAAGCGCCCCGAGCGCTAAATCGAATCATTACGGTGAATGCCACGACTGAAATTATACAGGGTCTATGAACACGCTTATTAAAATATCAAATCATACACATACACCCAAAGAAAATTGTCTATCAACCCTTTCACTAACAGAAGGGAATCACATTCAGCTTCTCCTTACAATAACCTCACGTCATCCGACAAAAATGTGTAATGAGAATAGAAAAATATATCCGCTACATGCTAGTTTTATCTCGGTATAAGAAAATGATTGGCGGCTAAAATCGTGAATTAATAATCACATCTTGGAAAAAAATATACTTACAATCATGAGGTTGAGGTTCAGTGATGATTAGCCTAGAACCATGAATGCTATTATTACAAAAGAAAAAAATTCCTAACTCGATATGCTTTGCTCACCAAGAAAAACCGAAACTACGTTACATTCGTTTGAGTATGTTTCAGGGTCCAAAAAGGCATAAAGTGAAAAACTCGACTAAGTGGCATAAAAACGTCGCCAACAAGGTACATGATTCTGTGTCTTACCTAAAACGTATTATGTGTTTAACTGTTTTATAAGTAATTTCGTAAGGAAAAAAAGAAAACCCACATAGCAAACAATCCAGACAAAAAACGAAATCAGATCATACACTTTGCAGTAGACCTCTCTTGAAAGTAGGATTGTTCAAAACCTTGCGCTTCAACCAAGAGGAAGTAATGGGGTTATTTTCTCAGGCCTGAGTTGATTCCGCAAAATGAACGAGGACACAAGTCAAGAACATTTGCATCTGTTTTATAGAACAATCATTCGATATCCTATTTTATAATCCATGACGCCGGACTCTAGCTTGACATATGAAGGTCCTAGAGCTGCAATGTGTCCTTCAGTGCTCACTGCAATCTTATACAGGAAATAGCCACTTTTGTAGATAAAAACGCTTCGTACAAACTCACCATCTTTGGTGTATATTCCAATACAAAGGAGCTCTTTTTCATCGTCAGTACTAGCCAAGACGACTTGTTGACTTTCCCTGTGAAATGCAATGTTTGGAAAGTGAACAAACCCTTTGAGATCAAACTTACTTAGATGATCACCGAGTTCGCTAAATATGTGTACACAGTGGGAAGGCGTTTGGTCCACCACCATAACTCTGCCATCACTTACAGTGCTGATGTCTCGCGGGCTCTTCAAATTTTGTTCTCCAAAACTGCAAACAAACTGACCATCAGTCTCGTATAGATCCACAAAATGATAGTCCTTTGTATAATTGCCATTCAATACCATCACTTTGCCACTATCACTAACTGACAGTTTACACAGATTACACTCGAGGTCCATTGTCCTCTCGCGAAACTTGTGATACTGGTCAGCGGCTTTATCGAACTTAAAAATCCAACGCTGATGATTCTTTTCTTCAACCAGCACATAAATGTCGTCGTTTATGTCTGTCGCCAGTTTAACCTTCCAGTTTTCCGTAGATAGCTCTTTACCATTGTCATCAATAAAAGGAGGAAGTCTGAAACACTTCACAAATTTGCCACTATTGTCAAACGCCTTGATTGTCAAGTCATAGTCGGCTACAATATATTGCCCGCTTGAGTTGGTAGCGATATCTAGTGGATTTTTTATCCTGTGCTCCTTTTCACCATCCTGACCAATTGTCCATGATAGATCACACTGCTCCATACCTTGTTCACGCAGTAATAGAGCCAGTCTCCTGTCATGCAGTAAGTCAACTTTCTCATCTCCTGTATCGACATTGGGCCACTCCAGGAGTAGAAGCCCTCTGCTGCATATAGCTTGTGTGACATCGAAGGCGACACGATTGACGCGACAGACACCGGAAATGATTTTTACTCGTTCTTCTTGGTAAAACAAACCCATCACCGCACTGATTCCTGTCTTGAGCTGTACTTTAAAGCTTTGCTGAACCGTTGGAAGACCGTTTAGCTCTTTAATACATACTTTACACGGTGCTACAGCATCGGATGGATTCTCTATTGCCTCTAATACTGTTGCCATCACTCGGTACTGCATTGCTAAAATGCGGTCAGTTGTTGATAGTGCTTCATTTGAAAATGCAATTGTTGCCATTTCACGGGCACGTTTGAATCTCTTCTTCGCAGTAGAAAGCTTTCTTGTGGCAGATTCAGTAAGCTCCAAATTTCGCATTCTTTCAGCAAGCGACACAACTTCCGCACAAGTCGCTTGTGCTGTATCCGCGCCAAACTCACTCTTTGACCTTGTCTCGTCAAATCCTTCATACAACAACTCGATTCCTTCTCTAAAGAAGCTGATACTTGCTAGCAAATCTTTTCTTGATAATCCATCCAACTTGGAGCTCATGTCGTCGATTTCACTCATGATGATGTTACGAAATTGTTTATGTGTTACATCGCTTAGCTTTTCGACTGCTTCATCTCTGCTTTTATGCACAAGCCATCCAAAAGTCGCTTGAAAAACTGCAATGGGGATCACGGCCATGATAGCAATTGAGGAAAATCAGAGGAAGAATACGTTTTTAATGGGACTCGATAGAAGTTCCTTGACTACAGCAAATGAGTGTAACATTAGGATTATCGAATTCCTCAGCCGTCAGCAACACTATTGGCAGTTGTGTTCATCTGCAGCGCAGCCCGTTGTGTCACTCGAAACCAAGGTCAACACTGCGGTTTAATTAGTTAATACACCGGTGCGATAGATGTTTCGGTTGTGATTGTGGATTGAAGAGTTTGGAGTGGGGAGATAAGAGGCAGTGAAATGAAATAAAATTTGAAAATAAAGGAACCAATAAACAAAAAAAAAAAAAAAGCGAAAGGAAGGCCATGATGTTAAAAATGAAAAGGCAAGTCTAGACAGTTTCAAGAAAAAAAAAAAAAAAGAAAAGAGCCTCTCCATGTACTGTTCTCGGCAAATTATTTCCTTGTTCGTTTGGTGAGGTTCATGTTCTGTTTTCTTGAAATAAGCTTTCATTTTTTCATTAATCTAATTATTGATTTGTTTCTTGTGTTAATTCGAAACTGTTCCATCGAGAGATCATAAGCAGTTTATATTCTCTTGGTTCCATACGATAAGTTATTTCAAAAGCTCTTAAATTCCTATAAAACTTGTTTTTGATCTCCATGAGTTCAATTTAAATTGAAGATAAAATTATCTTGTACCCAACACCAAAAAAAATAGTTATCTTTCAAAGTGAGTTCTTCGAGGCATATGTTCTTAAGTGCATCTAATCATTTTCTAGTCTGTCATTTGGTTATGAACGCTATTCTTTCTTTCAGGAAGGAGGAGGAGCACCTCAACGTGACTCATATGTTTCAAAGCCCATAAATGTTTAAATGCTTCAATGTATATTTCCAATTTTAACGTACTTCATCAATCTGCAGTTCACTGTCGTCGACCAATTTTTCTCGATCTGCAGTCCCGCCCCACATGATGTTCTACTTTTGACCTCAAAACCGAAATAATGGTCGTTTTATTTTGAAGTCGGAAAGTTACATTGCACGATCCCGTTCGTTTGCAGCTTAGGCAGGTGTTTCAGATTCAGAAGCAATTAACAGAAACCTCAACAAGGAAAAAGCGAAGATACAAACGCCGGCAGGGATTGGAGAACATTACCGATAACGAAGGAAGCAATCAGATTAATTATGTTAGGTTAAAAATGTTTTTAAAGTATTTTTGACCTCGGGGATTGGATAACGATTAAGAGGTCAACTGCTTTAGATGATATGTTTTGTCTCTGCTTTATAACATAAACTGCGTTGCGACTGAAACTTTCCACCGACGGAAGGGGTTCTCCTTTGTATAAAGCCCAAGTCATAATCACCTCTCGCCTCTCGCCTCTTACCTCTACCAAGGCTCTGTAGACTCGAGGAATGAATTTACTGAGCTACACCTTCAACTTATCACCAATCTTCACACTACTCTCATATTTGCTATACGCGTTGGTATTTCAGAAATTAAGGGAATGACTGGTGGCTCTGCTACAGTTGGGTAATCATGGCCAAACTGCCGGAAAAAACTTATCGTTATGTCCATTGTGCAGCTCTTGAAATTCTTAAGAGGTGTACTGAAGCTCCATAGATCTAAAAGTTTAATTTATTTTCATATTCATTCTAGTCTCCTCTTTCTACTTGGCTTAAAAACTGGGCCGTGTAACCCTTGAGATTAAAGAAGTTGTCTTCGAATATAACCCAAACATCATCAACTGCAAAGAGAACGAATCAACGAATTAAAACATATATCAGGAGGCAAATCAAATGGGGCGAAACAGTCAAAGAAGCAGGTCAAAATCAGTACCAGCTTTTATGCATGTCCAAGAATGATAACAGTCCATCAGAAGCTATAAATATGTCACAACAGAAATAAACAGTTTTAAACCTGATCGTCGATTGGAAACTTAATATATGTGAATACTCACACGATGACAATAACTGTACCGTGACTCACAAGATGAATTCAAACTGATAAAAAACTAAAAAAAATCACAATGACCATTCATTTTTGTATTTCGTGGCGTTTATCAACTCAGAATTGTTTTAAAAGGGTAACGAAAGATTTGTCTTTATCGAACAAAGTCAGAGATGACAGGAAATAATGAGGGGGCAACTCATAACTAAGTTACTGCATGTATTTCTCGTTAGACTAGGCCTCCATCAAAGATGTCAGTAATAATCGTTTGAGATAAAACTTTGTCGAAATCACCGACATTTTAAAGATTGTTTGAGAAGTTTTTTTTTCTTTTTTCGCTCAAACGTTTACCTCACAGGTTTGATAATAAAGAAATAAAAAGGTTCATTAAACCAAAAGGTTACCTTTAATTTAATAGCCTTTTCCAAGTTCAATTAAATTTAATTATATCCCGTCTCTTGCACTGTGTGAGGGCTTCGAGACAGTTTTAGGAGTGGTTATATTTAAGAAAACAACTGGGACGATCAAATAAACAAACCAATGTGGTCATATAATCACGAGGTCGATCTACTGCGTGACGAAAGACTCTTGCAGTGTATAGATAGGCCAAATTATTTCCACTCTCTACTCGTTTATCTTTCCGGTGCAATGAATTTAAAACAGTGACTTTCCTTGAGTTTTATTGTATTCTTTTCTACAAAAACCTTAGAGTATCAGCAATGTTTTCCAATTCTAAAGGGAACATCATTCAATTCAAATATAACAGCATGATGAACATTCCTGTATTTTCTAAGCATATAATGTGTATTAATCCTTCTCCTTCCTTTTTCATGCATTTTGGGAATAGTTTTACCGATTAGTTAAAAAATTTTAAATATCTTCTCTTGATTTTTTGTTGTTAATTGATGTTCCCTTGTAACACCATGAATTACTTTTATATCATAATACTCTCTATAATATTCAGACTTTCTTGCAAATCTATATCTATTTTCATGAAAATTAATAAATTTATTGTCATGCTCATATCCATCAATTTGACCACATTTTTAATACAGACATATTTTTTATTTTTATTTTATTTTAATTTTCATTTCCGGACAACATGGTACAATCCTAACGACTCTTTCTTTAATCTGTCCATTACAAAATGGACAGATAACTTCATCTCTATAACCATGTATTTCTTCACTACAATTCATTGTATGTATTTAAGTTAGAAATTTATAGTATTTTTCGTAAGTTTGGGTCTTTTTAATTCATCTAATATTTCTTGAAATAATTTAGCTGCTTCTTCTTTAGTTTCTTCATTAATTGTTTTGACATTATTTTTACCATCAATGAAAACAGCATCTTTTAATTCCGAGTAATCAATGAAAGGATCTGTATAATCATAATAATTATTCATAAACTAAAAATATATAATTTTTAATATATTATAAACAGTTATTGGCTGAGGCTTTTGTCATATCCAGATTAATCAAGGTTGAGGTAGGGGTTATCAGCCAAAGCCTTCGGCTTTGTAATAACCCCCAAAAAAAGGTCACGATAGTAAGTGGACCTGATAATTTATTTCTAAACGTGTAAAAATATACAAATCAGCAGGCAACACAAAGCGCGCGAACTTGATACCGTTACCCTTAGAAATCATGCATCGCGGTCATACATGACATGATTACTCGTGATCTTGAGTGTCCTTAACATGATTATTGTATAATCTACAGCTAGACGACGTCCCAGGCACTGATTTCGAAAATCCACTCTACGCCTTTGGCCAATCAGAAAAGAGATAGCCAGTTGAATGTATAATAATAACAATAAGATGATGTCAATATATCATAACCACAGTGACATGAAACATCAGACATTTTCACCATATTATAACCATGATGTGATAATGTCACATGGTAGCAACGGACACACTCCTTCAATATATTACAAACAAAAATGATGGCGTGACATATAAATGACGCATATCTTCCGGTAGAGTAGTAGTCGGGTGGTTAGAGCGCAGTTTTTTCGAAACTGCGCTCTTACCCCAAACTACTATAATACTACAATCGATCCATATCTCGTAAAGTCATATCTAAGTTCGTTATACTGCTTGACAAACGGAGTTCCTAGAGCTGCAATGCGTCCATCAAGGCTCACTGCAATTGCACTCAGGGTATAGCCAATATTGTAAACAAAAACGCTTCGTACAAACTCACCATCTTTGGTGTATATTTCAAAACATGAGAGCTCCTTATCATCGTCAGTACTAGCCAAGACGACTTGTTGACTTTCCCTGTGAAATGCAATCTTTGGAAAGTGCAGAAACCCATTGAGATCAAACTTGCTCAGATAGTCACCGCATTCGCTAAATATGTGCACACAGTGGGAAGGAATTTCGTCCACCACCATAACTCTGCGATCACTTACAGAGGTGATGTCTCGTGGGCACTGCAAATTTTGCTTTCCAAAACTGCGAACGAAGCGACCATCAGTCTCATAAACATCCACAATATAATGTTTCTTTCTCCAGTCACCCTTCAGTACCACCACTTTACCACTATCACTGACTGACAGTTTACACAGGTCAAAGTCGGAGCTCATTGTCCTGAAACAAAACCTGTGATGCTGGTCAGCCGTTTTATTAAACATAAAAATCCAGTGTGAGTCCTTATGACTACATTCTCTAACCAGGACATAAATGTTGTCATTCATGTCCGTGGCCAGCTGAACCCAATGGATATCAATCAATAGTTTTCTTCTATTGTCATCAATGAGAGGAGGAAGTCTGAAACACTTCATAAGCTTGCCACTATTGCCAAACACCTTGATTGTCAATTTATGGTCGGCTACAATATATTGCCCGCTTGAGTTGGTAGCGATATCTAGAAGATTTTTCATCCTTTGCTCCTTTTCACCATCCTGACCAATTGTCCATGATAGATCACAGTACTCCATATCTTGTTCACGTTGCAATAGAGCTACTCTCCCGTCATGCAGTAAGTCAACTTTCTCCTCTCCTGTATCGACATTGGGCCATTCCAGAAATAGAAGCCCTTTGCTGCATATCGCTTGTGAGACATCGTAGGCAACACGATTGACGCGATAGACACCTGAAATGATTTTTACTCGTTCTTCTCGGTAAAACCAACCCATCACCGCACTGATTCCTGTCTTGAGCTGTACTTTAAAGCTTCGCTGAACCACTGGCAGACCGTTTAGCTCTTTAATACACACTTTACACGGTGCTAAAGCATCCGATGGATTGTCAATTGTCTCTAATACTGTTGCCATCACTCGGTACTGCATTGCTAAGATGCGGTCAGTTGTTGATAATGCTTCATTTGAAAAGGCATCTGTTGCTCTTTCACGAGCTCGTTCGAATCTCTTCTTTGCACCAGAAAGCTTTCTTGTGGCAGCTTCAGTAAGCTCCAAGTTTCGCATTCCTTCAGTGAGCCGCACAACTTCCGCACAAGCCGCTTGTGCTGTATCTGCGCCAAACTCACTCCTTGACCTTGTCTCGTCAAATGCTTCAAACAACAACTCGATTCCTTCTTTAAAGAAGCTGATACTTGCCAGCAATTCTTTTCTTGATAATCCATCCAACTTAGAGCTCATGTCGTCGAATTCACTCATGAGGATTTTACGAAATTGTTGATCTGTTATATTGCCAAGCTTTTCCACTGCTTTATCTCTGCATTTATTCACAAGCCATCCAAAAAGTGCTTGAAAAACTTCTGTCATGGCCATGATAGCAACTGAGGAAAATCAGAGGAAAAATATGTTTTGAACGAGACTCGATAGAAGTTCCTTAACAACAGCAAGTGAGAATTATCGAATTCCTCACGTGTCAGCAACACAATCGGCAGTTGTAATAATTTGCAATGCAACCGATCGTGTCATCCGAAACCAAGATTAACACTGCGGTTTAATAGACCTTTTTAGAGGGTTGCGCCTAAATCCTACCGGCCAGAGATACGCCCGAGTGACGAGTTTCCGACTCGGGTGATTATCGGAAATTGTCGGCTATTACAATAAGGCGGACTATTTTTACTTCGGTTTGCTCATTTTACTTTTCTGCACTCCAAATTAGTCATGCACTCCTTGGAACCACTTTTTTCGTGAATATGTTTACATTAACTTCTCTCTTATTTAGTCTACAACCTCTCGCTAGTAGGATCTTAGGAGGCTTAGCAAATACTTAAAGTACAGCTCCCATATTTAATGGACTTTGCCCAATTTTTATTACAGTTTCCTTTGCATTTTCCTTTTTCGCATTCAATTTTAATCTTATACTTTATTGGAATAATTTTTTCAAGAATATCTCCTTGTTCCTTAGTCGTGTACCGACCAATGCCAATTTGATAGCACAGCACACAAGCTATGAGCATCAAATGACTCTTTATAGGGAATCAGCTGGAACTAAAGCAGGCATTATAGGGCAATAAGCTATGGGTTTCTAGTTAGTGTTCAAATAAGAAAAGTTTGATTTATTTTTAATAGTAGCAATTTTTATTTAAATACAATAAATAACACAGGCACAGGTTAATCTCATTTCTATAATTGTATAAATTCTGTCTATATAGAGTAGATGACCATTTTACATTTTCAAGAGTAATTCGCCTTAAGGTTTTCATACAGTCATACATGCTGTTAAATATCACATAAAATACAAAGGGAAAATGTCAATTTGGTGAATGAAAATCATGTTTTCCCATGACCACCTAAAGAAGAGTTGATTTTATTATTTCAGACAATGGTTGAACTTGTCAACTATAGAGTATTGCGCAAAAGTAACGCAAGGGAAATGCGGGAATTTCGTTTTTTGTTCTCGCGAACTTTCAACGAAATTTCGTGCGAAATTTCGAATGACAATTCGAGGCTTTTTGAGCGAATTTGAAAAATTTGAATTCTGTCATTAACGCGGGAAGTTTGGATAGTGCGAAAGAAGATTCGAAAACCTACTTTGCAAGTAAGAGAGTCCAGCCTTGCTGCTTTCGCGATCTTCGCACCGCTGTTTTTCCAGCTTCTTTCGAATCTTCGCGCTCGTCGTCTCGTCATTTCTACGCATCTGTTGGTCTATGAGAGCTTTTCCTACATTAGACAGCTTTTTCGGTCTCCCCGAGCGAGGTAAATTTGCTACGGAGCCAGTAAGACGCAGCTTCTTGATTAAGCGAGAGATGACCGAAAGGCTCACTTAAACCCTTAAATTTCAGGGTTTTAAATATTCCAGCTGGATGGAAGCCCTGGTTATACAGGAGCTCAATCCGGGTCCTAGTATAGCTTGATATT